TCTTGCCAAGGACACTCAGACAGCATCCTGGATGCTCCCCTAATAACCCAACTACAGGTTCCTCACCTGAGTTCTAGTGATCACTCGGCCTTTTCCTTCTTCCACACTGTTTCTAGAAGCATCCGCCTAAGTAAGGCTTCTTGTCCCACCATTTAGAACCATGGGGAAAGAGGATTGTGGGAGACCCTGAAGTTCTCTCTAAAATTCTGGGGTAGTTTTAGAGTAGAAAGAGCTGGGCTTTTTGAAGTCAGTTGGACACAGAGCCCTACTACTTGCTGGCTATGTAACTTTAGACATGTCATGTAGCCATCATTTGGCATACTCTGAGCCTCAGACTATATCGTTGGGGGCCAAGATGCAGACCTCAGAGACTCATTGGCAGATGGAGAAAATTTCTGTAAAACCTTAGTCCTGTATTTGGCACACAGAGGTCTCTTGCTCAGCAAAAACCATTTTGGTGGGAAGATAGAGGTGAACCTTGAGGAGACAGGCACTCACATATGTTGCTCCTAATTCTCAAGACAATCAAATAGAATTGTGTGTTATTTAGCTGTTTTATAGATGTTCAAAAAAGTTAAGTGAAGCCCTCAAAATCACCCAGTGGGAAAGTAGCAAAGCTGGATTCAAACCCAGGCCTGGTATGGCTCTAAAGCCTAGGACAGCTCTACCACGTTACACTGCCTGTCATCCACCTTATTTTCTGTTTATTTTTATTATTTTTTAAAGATGTTATTTATTTATTCATTAGAGACACAGAGAAAGGCAGAGACATAAGCAGAGGGAGAAGCAGGCTCCCTGCAGGGTTAGCAGCTGAAGGCAGACGCTCAACCACTGAGCCACCCAGGTGTCCCTTATGTTCTATTTAGAAAAAAAAAAAAAATGTTTTCTATAGACAGATGTCCCAAAAGTCTTAGTGCAGTTTTAAGCATTAATAATTTCAGAAGTATAAATGCTAAAAATGTACAAGAATATCACTGGAAATATTATTTATTTATTTTCTACTTAATTTTGTGAATTTACAATAATAAACTTAATGTTCATTTTTATTCTCTGACTGAAAATAAGCAAAAAAATTAACATTAAACTTACTTTTCAAAGTGCATGAAACTAAATGTAAAAATATGTTATTAAACTTCCAAATAATTTCTGTAAGCCTGTAGCTCCTACATATCTTAGTTATCAAAACCCAAAACTGCACTAAGTCTTTGTTCTGTTTATTTTCAAGTCCTGGATTTCTTTTGGACCTTTTAATTCTGAAACTGTGGGCCTTTGGGTCTAGAGATTCCAGGACAGATAAGATGCAGAAAGGAACAGATTTCTCTATAAGAAAGACATATAGGAGAAACTTCTTAGATAAAAGGGAAAGCTAAAACACATTTACAAGAAAACATGTTTGCTGTTAAACAAGTAAAGAGATGAATAAAAATAGAAACCATTCTGAGGGCTAAACCCAGGTGGCTCAGGGGTTTAGCACCGCCTTCAGCCCAGGGTCCCAGGCCCACCTCAGGCTCCCTGCATGGAGCCTGCTTCTCCCTCTGCCTCTCTGTGTCTCTCATGAATAAATAAATAAAAGATCTTTAAAAAAAAAAATTCTGAGTCGTCTTGACCTCAAGATTTGATCTACCTCCTACACGGTGTTACTTTTAATCTCTAGAGAGTGATTATGCTGCCTTGGGCAACTAGTTAAAGTAATATGCCATTTTAAAGGATCTATGAGGCGGCATTGCTTTTTATTAACCAAACGAGTTTTGAGCATCTCTTCTTTTCTTCCTCGCCCGTCCTTAAGGGACTAGCAAACTGATGGGTGCGAGGGGCCTTCCTAAAACCGCCCGCGGAGAGGACTATTAGAATCCATCAGAACACCTTTCTAAGGGCTTCTGCTGGACTCTGCAAGCACCAAAAGCGCCGCCGCACCTCCAGCCCTGGCGAACGCATCCCCACTTAGGCGCCACCTGCCCCCTCCCTCCTCTATTTTCGACGCCCCACGTCAACCCCGGGCGCACGGAGGTTACTTTGGCACCGAGTGAGCCCCGCAGTACGTGGCCGAGATGCCGACGGGCAGCTGCCGGCGGGCGCGCTCGATCACGCGCAGCAACTTGAGCTCCGTCTGCAGGTCGAGGCCGTATCCGCTCTTGCACTCCGCCAGCGTGGTCCCCGCCCGCACCATGCTCTGCAGCCGCCCCCGGAGGGAGCCGAACAGCTCCTCCTCCGAGGCTTGGCGCGTGTGCTCCACCGTGAAGTTGATCCCTCCTCCAGCCTGGTGGATATCCATGTACGTGGCACCTGCCAGCTGAACACAGGGCTCGCCCTTAGGCCGCACGCGGGAGGTGGCCGGCAGGGCGGCAGTGCCTCCCCCCCCTCCCGGGGGGCGATATCCAAAATGATTAACAATTGGCATGTCAGGGACACCAGCAGATCAGAAAGGATGCTGGGGTACAGAGCCAGGGAGGCCCCTACTGTGCTGGCTGGTGGGGAGCACGGGGTGAGGGGTGAATATTCCAGGAAGGACTGCGATGGCAGAAATGGGAGATGGGGGGGCACTTAGGGTCTCCCACAGCAGCGGCAATCTACCAACCAGCCCAGAAGTATTTCAGTATTTTAACAACCCGGTTGACCCCACTGTATTACCAGCAAAGTCTCTGTCCACCCCTGGCACCTATGAGAAAACAAAGCTTAAGCAATTCAGGAACCCTGCTACAGTTATTCCAAATATCCACTAAGGGGACCCTGAAGGAGGGTTTCCACCTCTCAATATCTGACCACTAGGGTTTGGGGCCTGACGTCTGTCACTCAAGCAAAGCAGCTCTTCCTGGGTTCCAGTTACTCTGGGCAGCAAGGGGGGTGGCACAAACGAAGTATGCCAGCCTGGTGTCTCCCTACCAGAGTTTCTTTTCTTTTCTAAGATTTATTTGTTTACTTATTCATGAGCAACACAGAGAGAGGAGCAGAGACACAGGCAGAGGGAGAAGCAGGCTCCCCGCAGAGAGCCCGATGTGGGACTTGATCCTGGATCCCAGGATCATGCCCTGAGCCGAAGGCAGATGCTCAACCGCTGAGCCACCCAGGTGTCCCTCTGCTTTTTTTTTTTTTTTTGTAAGATTTTATTTATTTGAGAGAGAGCAGGTGCAAGCAGGGGGAGGGGCAGAGGGAGAGGGACAAGCAGACTCCCTGCTGAGTGCTGAGGCCTACCTGGGGCTCCATCCCACGACCCTGAGATCAGGACCTGAACTGAAGTCAGATGCTTAACAGACTAGGCCACCCAGGCTCCAGAAGGCAGCCCAGTTCTGTTTTATTTTTATTTTTATTTTTTTTTTTTTACGATAGTCACACAGAGAGAGAGAGAGAGGCAGAGACACAGGCAGAGGGAGAAGCAGGCTCCATGCACCGGGAGCCTGACGTGGGATTCGATCCCGGGTCTCCAGGATCGCGCCCTGGGCCAAAGGCAGGCGCCAAACCGCTGCGCCACCCAGGGATCCCCCAGTTCTGTTTTAAAGGGATGATTCTAAAACATACATGCATAAGGATTCTACAAGTAAAAAATTTTGATAACTATTATACCTAAAATGATTGCTGGCCCTGTGCATAGCGTAAATATTTGGACAGTTATAAGTCAGTTTTGTTGCAATTTATTTTGCATAGTCCAGGCCAGTAAAAATATCCATGAAAAAGAAATGTAGACATAAGTTGCAAAGCCTGATGGCCAATAACTCTTTAGAAAAAGACTTGTCTGTACTTGTGCCTTATTTTGACTTGCCATCGTTAATTGCAGTTACCTTCATTGCAAACTCGTGAACTCTTTCACCAGCCCATACTGGATGTGTGTGTGCATCCACCAAACCTGTAATCAATGAATCAAATCATCTTTAGAGCTGAGAAAGAGAAAGCCCTTAAACAGCAGGCCAATGATCCCATACCACTCTTGGGAAAGCAAGATGATGGTAAACCATCTTGGAGGAGGGTGGAGGAAAAGAATTTGTCTGTAGGTTTCCTCCAACAGAACGGAAACAAGAATACTGTCTGCATGGCTGGTCTAGAAGGCTTCGGTGCAGGAGAGTGACTGGCATGATGAGAATGCCCATTAAAGAAATACTTACAGCCCCTTTTACCCACTAAGTCCGTGCTCACCAAGCAAGCTTTTGAAACAGGGTGTCACCTCTATTATGTGAGCAAAACAAAGGACTATATCACCAAAGAATAATCTGGGTACGAAAACAGAACACTATCCTTCCTCACTTTGAGAAGGAAAAATATGAAATCAGAAATATGATTCTCCTTCAAAAAAGAAATGCAGTTTAACTGAAGAAACACTATAAGCAATCATGTGAAACGTTTGTTTATCCAGGTACAGCTCAAGTAAAGTGTGTCTTTCCAGAATATGTAAAATACCTTGTGGATTAAATGTCTCATTAGGGGTTCTGACTGGATTAAAATCAAGAATCTCTATTCAGAGTGCATCAGGTTTTTTTTTTCTTGATCTATTTTTTTGAAATAGATTAGTAAAATTCTTCCAACAGCTTTGAACCTAAACACAACTGGTTTCTCTTCAGCATCTCAGTGGGAAGAAGTGACCTGAATGAGTAGGTTTCATTCCCAGCTTGCCCTTTACCTGTCCAGCAATCTTGGGTGGGGTACTGCATCCCTAAACTGGAGTTTTCTAATCTGTAATATAGAGATAATGATACTTACCTTACAGGGCAGTTATAAGGATGCAAGATGAAACCACATTTGTAAAGCAGCTAGGCATTCAATAGTAGAAATTCAATGCACAGTACCTATTCTTATATTTTAATATTATTTCAAGACCCTATTTAAAAGAAGCTGCTCCTCTTTCTCTTTACATTACTAAAACTGGTTTCAGGGCTTTACTGGAAAAAAAGGTTAATACCTGGCAAGATGCATTTCCCAGAACAGTCGATTCTTTCTTCGAACGTTTCTTCAGAAAACAGTTTTTGGATAGCATCAGCAGGACCGATGGCTTTTATAAACCCATCCCTGAAGAAACATCAAGAAATAATTACTAAAGTGTGGAGAAATACTGTGGAAAAACTAAAGATTTCAAATATTGGGTATCAGTCAACATTTACTGTATCTCCTTCTTGCATTTGCGTCTTTGGGGGAAAAAAATGCCTCCAGCCACATGCCAGCAAAAAAAGTCAAATCACAGATACAGAGACTGCCAGCTTGTTCCCCAAGGTCAGTGTTCCCTCCTCCCCGCAGCGCTAGATTCCTAAATTTTAGCTGAACACACGAACACCCAGAATGAAACCTACCTTTCTGGGTTTCCCGTCAACCAGGTGCCCACTCGTGACTAAACTCTAACCAATAGGATCGTTTTCTCTTCCTATTCCCTACTGTCTGGAAGGCGGACGCCAAAAGGAGAGATGGGACTGTCATCTTGGACGATGGAGTGGGAAAGGCTCCTGCACGACTGAGCAAGAGAGAAGGGCCTCCGGACTCCACAGGGCAGGGCTGTCAGTCAGCCCTGGATTTCTACCTCTGTGCAGTTCTGGTAACTGGTTGTTGGGTGGTTGGGTTTTGTTTTGTTTTAGATTTTGTCTATTCACTCACGAGAGACACAGAGAGAGAGGCAAAGACACACGCAGAGGGAGAAGCAGGCTTCCTGCGGGGAGCCCCATGCGGGACTCGATCCCAGGACCCCAGGACTCCAGGACCAGGACCTGAGGCAAAGGCAGAGGCTCAACCACTGAGCCATCCGGGGGAGCCCTCGGTTAACTGGTTTTTAACAAACTTTTAACAGTAACCCTGGGAATGTTTTTATCCCGTTGTTAATTAAACACACACGGTCCCTAAAAGCTGGGCTGTTGCACAACCCTAAGCAGCCTCAGAGGAGCGCCAGAGCACCTTGCGCAAGGGCGCCGCGGCGGAGCTGGGGCGCCGCAATTCCAATGGGCATCCAAGCCCCACTCCCACTGCGGGCTCGTCCTCCCGAACTTCGCTGTTCTCTTACTCACCTCTAGCGGGAAGCACGGAGGGTTAAATGAAAAACAAAACAAAACCAAACAAAGCAAACCGATAATGTCCTCTTTTTCTGGTGTCTGAATCGTTGATTTCCTACCACCCCCAAACCATCACCAGCTGAACGTTTTCCGCACACCCAAGGGGTTGGGCGGGAGGGCGTGTCGTGAACCTGTAAAGGCCCAGAACTCCACCGCGGAGGCGCTGCTTCCAAAGATCTGGGGATGGGGGGACGCGGAGGGGGAAGGGGGTTCAGCCTGAGAGCGTTTTTCCACCGAATGACAGCCGGTCGCCGTCACACAAGGTAGGGAGCAACAGGTGCCCGAAGGACAGGCCCGCGGTGGCTCCCCGGCGGCGGGAAAGCTTTTCCCCGGTTCCCTCCTCGGCGCACAAGTTCGGGGAAGGGGCCACTTACGTGCCCACCACCAGGCTGGCGCCCTCCAGCACCGCCAGGCTGTGCAGCGCGTCCCCCGCCAGGAAGCGCTCGCCGCGGGCGCACACCGTCACCACCTGCCGCGCGTTCTCCAGCAGGAGGCGGTGGCCGCCCGCCATGGCGCCGCGGGTCCCCGGGAGGCCGCCGGCCGCAGGGAGGGCGGAGGGAGGGCGGAGGGGGCCGCGGGGCCGGCGCGCGGGACTGGGGCTCGGCGGCGGAGTGCGCGAGCCGAGGAGGGCGCCGGGCGGAGGACGCCGGGCGGAGGCCGCGGGGAGGCAGGCGGGGGCGGCACCGCGGGGCCGGGGGTGGAGCCGGGGCGCGCGCTCGCCGCCCCCCCATCCGCTCGGCCCCGCCCCCCAATCCGCTCACCGCCCCCCATCCGCTCGGCCCCGCCCCCTCCAATCCGCTCGGTCCCGCCCCCCATCCGCTCGGCCCCGCCCCCTCCAATCCGCTCGCCGCCCCCCCATCCGCTCGGCCCCGCCCCCTCCAATCCGTTCGCCGCCCCCATCCGCTCGGCCCCGCCCCCATCCGTTCAGCCCTGCCCCCTCCAATCCGCTCACCGCCCCCATCCGCTCGGCCCCGCCCCCATCCGTTCAGCCCTGCCCCCTCCAATCCGCTAGGCCCCGCCCCATCCAGTCCGTTCAGCCCCGCCCCCTCCAATCCGCTCGTCCCCGCCCCCTCCAATCCGCTCGCCGCCCCCGGCAATCCGCTCGCCGCCCCCATCCACTCCCCGCCCCCTCTCCCAATCGGACGGGCGCGGCGGCGGCGCCAGGGCCCACACCCCGAGCGAGGGGTAGTGCTGACCCTTGTCAGGGACAGTCCTGGTTCCGCCCGGTCCGGCTCTGGGCGCGTGTGCCGGGGACCACTGTCCCTACTCTGCAGATCGGGCCCCGAAGCTGGCTTACCGGGGAGAAGGGCGGGCTGCGCGGACGGGAGACCCCGAGGGGCAGCGCGGGGGAACCCCTGCCGGGGGGGGGGCTCCTGGGTCCGCGCGGCCGCGGGGGGGGGGGCGGGTGCCGCGCACAGTTTTCGGTTGGCCGGCTCCGCTCCGGGATCCCCTCCCAGAAGGTCCCCGAGATGAAGGGAGATCCGGGCGGGGGAGGCTAGAGCCGGGACGAGAGAACCCCCTTGCGCCTCTGCCCCCCGTCCCCTGACGCCTTCCCGAAGGATAGGTCGGACCTGCTCCCGGACCCAAACTCTCGGAGGTAAAAGTGGTTTCAGCTCAGCGTCCCTCCCCCATCTCCCCGGCGGTCCGTGGCGGCGCCTACTCTCGATTTGCCTCCAGGGTTGGAGACAGAGTCACGTTTGTTTAAGGAAGATGGTCTGTGATTCTCACTCACGCCTCTTCTCACCTGTCACCTGCTGTGACAACACTGACAGGCACCGGGCTTGGTTTTGAGCCTTATTTTATTTTGCTTATACGCTTGCATTAGAAGCTCTGTGTTAGGCTGTGGGACACACAAAGACAGGAAAGGCACTTTCCCTGCCCAGCAAAGACTGCAATCAAAAGGAAGGCACTTTATAAACACGAAAAATAGACCATAAAAGCAGGCTGAGGCCTGTAAAACCAAAAAATGTAAAAGTCAATTTTAGGATTATTTTAAAAGAACAAAGAAGAGAAAAGCAAAAAAAAAAAATCTGTTAGATGAACATAATGAGAATATAGCTGTGTATTTTGGTCTTACAAGAGAAAAAATTGGTAGGAAAGAAAGAGTAAAGAAAAAAAAAGGAAAGAAAAGAATTCAATAGAGAATATGAGTAAAAGAGACCCTACAGGAGAAGAAAAATCCATATATTACCCAGGCTCGGACACAAAATCACAAAGAGGGGTGTGTGTGTATGTGTGTGTGTCTACACATAGTTTTAAAGAGAAAGGTATATAGAGAAAAATAATACAGGAGAAATATAGTGAAAAACACATAAAGTCACTAATTCCAGAGAAACATCAAAATTTTCTAACATTTCTGCTAAGGACTTGAATCTGTCATGTTTTGCAATTATAGGCATATTTGTAGATTTATGAAGTTGTAGGTGTGAAGGAGCAGGTGAAATAATGGTAATATAGAAGGCTTTGGGGTTCCATAAACTGGTTTTAATCCCGCTGTTACTTATGAGTTATTTGATCCTGGGAAATGTCCTTAATTTCCCCAACCTCAGTTTTCTCATCCATCTTCTCAGGGGGGTAATTGTTTCTATTTCCTGGACTTGTTTGAACTTAATAGAAAATGGAATGGAAAACACTTTACCCAGTGCCTAGCTCTAAATAATAGGTGTAATTCTTATTATATTACTACTACCACAGCAGCAACTGCTGCTGCTAATTTATTTTAATACTTTTATTTCTCTTCCTGGTCAGTTAAGTTCAAGGTAAGATTTCAGCCACGAGGTCCCCTCCGGAGTTCTCAGAATGTACCACGAGCTGAAAGCCTACCAGTTTTGGGGAAGTCAAAAAAAGAAATGCTCATTCTTTTCATGGGGACATTGATTTGTGGGTGAACTGTGTCCATTACAGTCCAGGTACACAGCATTGGCTGAAAAGTCCCTGTAAACAAGAGGTTTGCAGAAGCAAGAAGAACAAGAGTGAGCTGCTCTCCCCCTCAGTCATTGTTAAGCACGTAATTACAGATCATTTCCTTAGTAATAACCAGCATCCCTGTAGCACTTCTCAGTTCACACGGTACTTTTTACATCATCTTACTCGCATTGGCTGACTTCCCCTGTTCTTCCTTCCTTTTGACACTCAGGCTGTTTTTTGTTTTTTTCAGTTTGCAAAAGGGGCAGACAAATGTCAACAGGAAAGTCCACACAAAATACGCCAGCAGGGCCTTAAAGGTCAAGCTGAAGGTAATTTCCTATCAGTGTGCTCTGCTTCTGACCTAATCAAAAGAGGCAGGTCATTGAGCAGGCCAAGGACCTAGTGGCTCCTGGCTCGCAGGTAAACAAAAAATTGCTAGCTCTGGTCTCTACACACCATCCAAGGACACAGTTTACAGCCCTTTCTCCTAGTATTTGTCCAAGTGGGTGGGAAGGAGGTGGGCAAAAATGGGTTTAGGTCTGAATCTGTCTAAATCTTTGTTTGCATATGGGAGATAAAAAACAAAGATAAAGCGTTTTATCTCCTACTAAGAGACTCTGGAAATCCATTCTCCCTGAGTTGTAGAGAGAGTTGTTAAGAAAATCAAATACAGGGAAGCCCCTGTGGCTTAGTGGTTTAGCGCCGCCTTCAGCCCAGGGCGTGATCCTGGAGACCTGGTATCCAGTCCCATGTTGGGCTCCCTGTGTGGAGCCTGCTTCTCCCTCTGCCTGTGTCTCTGCCTCTCTCTGTCTAATAAATAAATAAAATCTTTTAAAAAATCAAACAGATTGCTTCAAATAATACCTGGTAGATACTGTTATTGTTCATTTCATTTGGAGTTGGTCTTGGACTTTAGGGTTGGTCGTTAGAAAAACCCATTCTTCTTTTTCCACTTCTACTTCCATGAAGCTTGGAATGTTAAGAATGTGCACGAAGGTGAGTCAGGTTCCCCAAATTTGCAGCAGTATTGCTGGTAGATTGAGAGGACTCAAATGAAGGGTTTCAGGAATTTGAGTTCAGGATTTCTTACAAAAGTTGGTGGTCAGTTATCCCTCCTTTTCAAAGGCTAGTGGTTATTCACGAGACAGGACTAGAAAGAGGACAGATCTGGACATCTACCTTGAAGAAATTAATAGGCAATTATTTCCCTATCAGCCTACCATGAGTAGCCACACTGCATTTATTACCTGTGTTTGAAAATTGCAACAAGCCTGTAAGAAAGATATTAGTATCCATACCTGATAGAAGAAGGACCTAAGGTGTACTGAGTTTCAGCAGATAGATCTAAAAGAAAAAGCTGGTTAGAACCAGAGGCAGGATTCGACCTGCTGTCAAGACCAGGGTCTTTCCATAGTGTCATCCATCCATGCTACCCCTGTGATGATCCACATGAAAAAACCTGACTCAGTGGCCACACATAATTGCATAATGCCAGAGGAATGCTAGCATTAATTAAATCAACCAGTATGGTGTTTGCCTTGGAAGAACAGTGTATTTTACGCCCATGTCCCCTAACATGTCTCAAATGTAACATGTTCCCGACTTAATTGGAAACCTTTGAACTTAATTGCCCCTTCCCCATAGCTGCTCTGTCTCCATTGATGGCAACTCCACCCTTTGTTTCCTGAGCTCTTTATCTCATACCCCACATCCAAACCATCACCCCGTCCTGCAGGCTCTACTTTCCAAATGGATCTAGAATCTAACCCTTTCCCCACTTCTATTCTTCCCATTATGTCTTGCCTCTCAATGACTGTAGCCACCCAACAGATGTCTTTATTTCACCACAACCCCCTTGTACAGTCGCTTCCCAGCTCAGCGGCCACAGTGGTTCATTCCAGATTCCCATTTCACTGAGAGAGTGACCCACAGGGCCCTCACTCTCTCTCTGATCTCACCTATCCTTCTCTACTTTGTTCCCTCTGCTTAAGTTCTATTACTCTCCTGGCTGTTCCTCAAACACACCGGGTATCCTTCCTCTTCGGAATGCTTTCTCCATGGGCTTACACTGCTGTGGCTCATGGTGTGCCTCATGCTGCCCAAGCTGGGGGCCACATAGTACCTAACTTAACCATCACATGAGGTAGGTGCTATTCTTATCAGCCCTTTTGAAAGATGGGGAAATTGAAGTGTGGGGATTTAAGGAGCATGATGAGAGTCCATGCTCTTAACCACTAGCCTCTGCCACCTCTAAAAATGATGGCTTGAAGTCACCATGTTAAAGCCCTTGTTTTTTTGAGCTCTTCATCTTTTTCATCTGTCAGAAGCTAGATTTAAACATATATTTTATTTTTTTAACATGTATCTTAGATGTGAATTTGCAGGTGTTTGCTATGCAATCCAGTGACATTTTCCTTCTATTTCAACGCAAACTCTGTGTAGTCATGTTATTTTTATTTTGCACAACAAAGACATTCACTGGCTTTGACTTTCTTTTCCTGGTTGGCACATCTTATTGGTTTAGTTCAAAGAACTTTATAATCCCTTCTAGGAATAGTTGGCTCTCTTCTTCTCTCGTTCGTTCTTTACCAATCTTTCATTAATCAATAGGGAGATTAATATGTACAGAAGTACAGAAGCATAACAACTTCTAGAGACTACTGGTTCCATTCACATGTTCTTTGAATTATTGGAGAGATGGAATCAGAGCAGATACCTGCTATTATCAGTTGGCTTAGGGGAACGAGAACTTCCAGTTTCCCTATGAGTGAAAAAGTGCCCGAACCCATGGGTAAAGATTTTTATTGCAGATAGACTTAGGATAAAGTGAATGAAAGAGGAGTGAATTGAGTTAGAAGTGGAAGATTAAAAGTGTGCCAAGAAAGAAGTGAGTAGACTCTTAGGGATTTGGAGGAGTGTGGAGTGTGTAAATATATATGAAAATCTTCTACCAACCTTTACTATTGGCCATCCAAGTTCCAAATACATCAACCCAACAAATTGTCCTCAATTTTCCACCGGCCCTTTTTTTCCACTGTCAGAATGAACCCAATGCCTGTGAAACAAATCTTCAGTAATGTGAAAAAGTATCAATGACATAGTTTTTGTTAACCTTTTCTCTTTTGTAAGCTTTAACATCACGTCTTTTTGCTTTTCCATTTTTGTTTTTATAATCACTTGGAAGTAAAACCACATTCTCCTTGGTAAATATTAGCACAAAATTGCTCCCACTTGTTAAGTTTGCTCTCTGTGCTAGGCACCCTGCTTGGGTGTTTACACACATTACATCATTGTCTCCTCATGAAAGCTTTAAGATACAAAATTATCTTCCTACTTTATGGAAGAGGAGCCTGAGTCCCAGAGCTACTAAGTAATTAAAATGTAGGCCCCCTGGGGGAAGAAATGTGTGGGTTTTTTTTTTTTCTCTTTGTTGTTGTCATCATTTTTAAACTGTCCTGTTTCTGGCACCAGAACAGTGCCTCACACATGGTACATACTCAATAAATATATTTAGAATGTTAAATGATCTTGCTCACACAACTGTAAATGCCAAACTGACAGGCTTCTCCATTCCAAAGTCTGTATCTTGATCACCTGCTACAAATGCCTCTGAGAGTCTTGTCAATGTGGCTCTTTGAGAGAACTGATGGACACCTTTAAATTAGCAGCCTGAGATGGGATGTGTTTCACATTGTTCCCTTTTTATATAAACTCCCGAAGGCCCTTTTTCTTGCCCAAATGAAAATATTGCCACTTTTTTCATCGTAAAAATCACCAAGCTCATTGAGAAATAATAATACAAAAAAGTATAAAAATTTAAGACAAGGGTTAGGCTGAAGCAAGGGAAACATTTACCTGTGGTGTGACACCTAAGGGGGAGGGCAAAAACAAACATTTTAATTCACTATTTTTAAAAATAAAAATCAATGCAAAGAATTCCACGATGAGGGCAGCCCCAGTAGCACAGCAGTCTAGCGCCACCTGCAGCCCGGGGCATGATCCTGGAGACCTGGGATCGAGTCCCACGTGGGGCTCCCTGTGTGGAGCCCGCTTCTCCCTCTGCCTGTGTCTCTGCCTCTCTCTCTCTCTCTCTCTCTCTCTGTGTGTGTGTCTCTATGAATAAATAAATAAAACTTTAAAAAAATTCCACGATGAGCAAAATACCAAAAATGTACATAAAGACGAGATCTGTGGGCCAGGACGAAGGTGTGGCGAGGGAGGCACCTGCTCTCAGGGTCACGTGAGTGCACAGTCAGAGCCTGTCAGTATTTAAAGTCTTGATATTTTGTCCACCATGCATTTTTTCCTGCATTGACTTGGAATTTTTTTTTTTTTTTATAAATTGCATTAGCATGTTATTTATTTCGATAACTGAATTTTGGGGGCCACTTCCTTAAATTTTGCACCTAGCCCTAATCCCAAACCTGATAGAAATGAATAGAGAGGTTGCTCCAAATCGAAGACAACCACTATTAATGTTCGGTGAACAGCTTCTCAAACATCTGATTTGGCAGGTGTTTTTTTTATCCACACTGCTCCCAATCTTTCCACTTTTAATATATAGTTAACAACGGTAAGCAGTGACTGTGTTGTGCCCAAGACTGCGAATCCGAGAAACCACCAAGGAGCGACACCGATGCAAACACACGAGGATTCATTTACAAGCTAGAGCTTGGGTCCAAGTGTACCCGACACAGCGGAGCAGGGACTTGGGCCCCGAGGCTAAGACGCGTAGCAGCTTTATAGGGGCCAGTGGGATTGTAACATGCGCAGAAAGTTGCATAGTCAGTCGGTCCACACGCAGGTGGCCGATTGAATTACATTTTATCCTATAGTATCCACTTGAGCTGGCCTTTGGTTTTGGTCAGAATTGGCGCGCAGTTTTGGCGGGCACAAGGCGGGGTTACATTGTTATGAGCCGATTTCTGATTAGGGTGTGCCCAGCGGCCTGACTAGGGTGGGGCAGCGCCTTAAGCAATAAGCAGGTCATGTGGGGGTGATACAGGAGGTGGTGGGTGCCGCACAAAATGGAATTAGTCCTGCTCTGCTTGTCCAGGGGTAAGGGATTTTTGTTAAATTTCCTGGGTCCCACAACTGCAGCATTGTTTTGATGGGACACGGGACAATCCGTGTTATGGGCATACCAAGGTTATTTAATTAATAAACTCCCTGTTTATTAAATAACATGTCAACAAACATTATTGTACATACTTTTTTGCCCCCTTATCTGATTATTTCTTGGGATGAGTTCCTAGATTTGGAATTGCTGGGTCAAAGGGTTTGTGCTTTTAAAAGCAATGAAGAAAAATAAAATAAAATAAAATAAATAATAAAAATAAAAGCAATGAAGGCCACTTGGAATCATGGGCTGTTGAGTTTAGCCCCCTTTATGCAAGCTTTACCGAATTTATTTTTTTAAGTTTTTATTTTAATTCCATTTAGTTAACATGCAGTATAATACTAGATTCAGGTGTACAATTTAGTGACCCAACACTTCCATACATCACCCGAAGCTCAGGTTTACAAAATTTTTAATGTATTCCCTTTTCTTTGGACAGGACCAGGAGACAAAATGTCATCACAATTTTTGCCGATATCCCTGGCTTCTGAAGGTAAATAAGAAATCTGTCCATGAGTTCTTGTTTTGTGCCTGGTACGGTCAGTCGCTATTGTAGATTGGGAACGTGGGAAAAGGAGAATGACACATGACGTGAAGGCCTCAGACATGGCCTTTCTGTGTAAAGAGGTTACAAATGACCTGCTGAGAAGGTTCCCTTCCACTTTTTAATTCTGCAAAGAAAACTCTTCACATTGGAGGGGCATTAAATTGTCATATTTGGCCAGATTGCTAGGGAGTTTCATGACATAAAACAAGTAACTCAATTATTTGTCATAATAAAGGTCATGAATAACTACATTTTATCAAAATCTGTCCTCTCCTTTCCTTTTCCAGCCTTTCCCTCCTCCTCCTGCTTCTTTACAAGTGTATAAGGAATTCATATTTATCGGTATAGAAGAATAACTTCTTTGTCACTTACAAATTTGGCAAAGATTTGAACACTGGATAACACCAAGAGTGTGTTACAGGTAACAGGCGCTCTGTAGGCACTTTTCATGGGCTCAGGGAAAGTCACGCAATGGATTCTCCCTCAGAAACTCCTGAAGGAACCAAGCCAATATCTTCATCTCAGACTTCTGGCCTCCAGGGCTGTGAGAGAATAAATGCCTGCTGTGTTAAGCCCCTCCATTTGTGGTGATTTGTTATAACAGCCCTAGTTCTATGTGACTAAGAAGTAATTCAAGTGGGGAGAAGGGTTGGCTAAGGGCCAATTCTTAAGTGGATTTATAATTCAGGAATCTTGCTAGAGTGGGGTGAAGGTGGTCCCTCCAAAATGGTAGTTGTCCATGTCCTAATCTCTGCAATGGGACCTTATTTGGCAAAAGGACCTTTCAAATGTAATTGAAGGAAGGATCTCAAGATGAGATCATCCTGGACTTAGGGTGGGTCCTGAATCCAAGGACAAGTGTCCTTGTGAGAAAAAGAAGGGCCTGTAAACATAGAGGCAGAGATCGGAGTTACACAGCCCGTGAGTGCCTGAGCCACCAGAAGTTGCAAGAGATAAGGAAGGATTCTTCTGTAGAGCCTTTGGAGGGAGCATAGTCCTACTGACACCTTGATTTTGGACTCCTGAACTCCAGGACTGTGAGAGAATAAAGTTCTGTTGTCTTAAGCTGCCAAGTTTGTGGTAATTTATTTTGGCAGCCATAGGAAACTGATAAACTTGGTGTTTAGAGTTCTAGTTTTTTCTATTTCTCTATAACTAAAAGGCACTTGGCTTTGGAGTTGGGAAAAAATGTCTTGTCAATCCAGGATGCTTGAACTTGTTCGGAAAGGGTTTAAACTTGGGCATTCAAGATTTTAAGCCACCTAGGGTGGGGTGGACAGTAAGTTTGTGAGGTTTATCTTGGGAGGAGAGAGGGTTGGTTGAGGGAGAGATGTCCAGCCTACCAATGACTCACCTGTTACAGGACATCAGTGGTCCCATCCTGGGATGTCAGGTCTAGCTCTGTCCTGAGAGTGGTGGCATAGGGTACAAGTACAGTTTCTGGCAATGTCATTCAACCCCAAATCCCTTTAGGTCCTTGACTTTTCTTGCCTCCTCCTGGGCCTCAGTCTGTCGGCTCTGCCCTTCCATACTCCTGCTGTCTCCAGCCCAGATGCCTGGACCCACCCCCACCTGTCTTTGCTCGTGTATTATAAGGCCTAAGATTTCATATATTGCCTTGACGTCTTTGAGCTTCACAGAGCCCCCAAGACCTAATTGTAAGTCTCTCTGTTCTTGCCAGATTTGACCTCCACCCAGTGAGAAAGGTTCCCCACCCATCTAGTTTCTCCATCAGTTGGACCAGTTATACTCCAGTGGTCTTCAACCTAATGGGTTTCACAAGTCAATTACATCCTCTTGAGGGAAGCTAGAGGCACCTCACCCTTTTATTACTACAAAGCCTGCCTCCTGCCATCTGTCTGTTTCACTCTGCTCCTGAGTGTGGTCATGATGTGGCCCTGCCTGGCAGGTAGTGTCCTCCTCCCCTGGGCTGTGAGTGTAAGTGACTAATAATCCACTATCTATCTCATCAGTCCAGTGTGGAGTGTCATATGTTTAGTCATTTCATACTATTTGGGGCAAGGGATCCTTCCTTCACCCACAGGTGAATAGGAAGTGATGGAAACACTACACACTCTGTGTTGAGCCCAAAGCTTCCACTCTGCAATTTTCTTTCTTCCTGGCCCATAACCTGCAGAAAAACATGCTTGGGTTTCTATCTCAGACATTCCCACTTTCCCACCTGAATCCCTGGCCAAATAGCCAATTCTCAGGCAGCCTCTAAGCTCCAGACCAGTAACCCCCATCCCGGCTGTATCTTTTACTTGCTTAGAGAAGAGAGGTGCTTTCAAGATACTCCGGTATTTTAGGAGGTGAAAGTGGGTGCAGGGCCCAGGGTAGGAGGGGGGATGTGTTTTCAGTTATCCTTTCCCTTTCTCTGATTTAAGATGTCAATTCCAAGCTCCAGAATTCCTGCTTTTGGCTATGGGTATCTGAAACCAAAATTTCCACCCTCAAGCATTAAAAAGCCAGAAAGAAAGAAAAAGAGAAAGACTTTTGATCATTTCAAATTTTATGAATAAAAACAAAACATCTGTTCAGAAATTCAGTTGACTTCTCTCTTCCTCCCTTCCAATCCCTTTCCCTCACTTCCCTCCCCTTTACAGCCAGGCTTCTTTTTTTTATTAAGGGTACAAGCCCATGGATTGTATGCACAGATACATGCCACCATCACCACAGTCCATTTTAGAACATTTTTATTGTCTCAGAAAGAAACTCTGGGCCTTAACCCCCATCCTTCATCTCCCTTCCAGCCCCAAGCAACCACTAATCTATTTTTTGGCTCCATGGATGTGCCTATTCTAGACATCTCATGGGATATAATGGTATCTTATAATGTAGAGACTTAATGTGGCTTCTTTCACTTAATATAATATTTCCAAGTTTCATCAGTCATGTATCCTTCTTGTGGCTGATTACTATTCCATTGTGTGGATATACCACATCTTGTTTATCTATTCATCAGTTGATGAATATTTGGGTTGTTTTTATCTTTTTATTTTTTAAAGATTTTATTTATTTGAGAGAGAGGGACAGAGAGACGGAGAGACAGAGAGAGAGCATGAGCCGGGGTGAGGGACAGAGGGAGAAGCAGACTTCCTGCTGAGCAAGGAGCCCAATGTGGGGCTTAATCCTGGGACCCCAGGATCATGGCCTGAGTTGAAGGCAAGTGCTTTTCTAACTGAGCCACCCAGGCGTCCCTGTTTCTATCTTTTGACTGCTATGTATAATATTGCTATAAATATTCATGTACAAGTTTTCATGGGGACATACGTCTTCATTTCTAGGAGTGGAATGGCTGGGTCACATGGCAACTGTATGTTCAACTTTTTGAGGAACTGCCAGCTTGTTTTTCAAAGTGGCTGCACTATTTTCCATTCCTGCCAGCAGAATGTTTGAGTTTCCAATTCCTACACACCCTTCCCAATTCTTGTCATTATCTTTGGTTTTTTATGGTTTTGTTTTTTGAAGACTCTCTAGTCTGGACCGAGGATGCCCCGAAGGGTAGTAGCTGTGTCTCTTGCTGCCAAAATGGTGGTGTAAGGGTAATAGTACATATTTTCACAGTGATGAGAAGAACCAATATTTTAATGCCTCAAAATATGATCCCACTATCCTGTAACAGGCCCCCTTATCTATTCACACAACAAATATAGACTCATTCCCCCTGAAGTACTAAGCACTGTGCTCCATGCCATGGGAAACAGATGAGCTGTGTCTTCTGCCCTCGAGATCCAAGCCTTGCATCCCTGCCTCAGTTGGGGAGCAAAGGCTGTGTCCTCCTCCTGAGAGGCTCATCTATCCTCCTGCTCCACCTTGGCTGGTGAGAGTGTTGCCCTTCTGGCCAAAAGAGCAGGGATGACAGATATTTTTCTTTTCTTTCTTTTTAACAGGTAAAGGAAAAGATGACTCAGTCAAAAAGGACAGGCCATACAAGATCTTTTTCAAAGATCTCTTTCTTTTCAAAGAAAATGAAATGGCAGCAAAGAAAAAGGTAAGGTTTTATTAAAAACCCAATCCAAATTAATATTAGAAATTTATCCTCTTACCCACCACTTTTATTAACTTTGCTGGCGTAAGAAAAGGGATCAGGTACCGCATGCTATGTTGGGGTGTAAACATGCACGACAGGAACAACATCAAGCCATGGCAAGGACCTAATGATCACTGCCTACTCATGGAAGACACACACACTGTGGCCAGCGCATATGACAAGTGTGGTACACCCCACTTCATTGATTTCAATGCTCATATTTTTTCACATTTTCTCATTCCTGAAGGGGGATCCAGCTTATATAGGTAGGATGCCATGTATAATTGGCAGTGCATAAAATAATAGTGCTTCTATAAATGACATCTTAGACTTGGTAAAATACAGTAATAGAGCATACAAAAGACATGTAGAGAAAGGAGTGACCATCTTTGTTAGAGAGAAGGGTGATGGTGATGGAGGTGGGGATGGAGGTGGGAGAGTGAGTATGTATGTGTCTGTTTGTATCACATGCACAAAGACTTCACTGAGGAGATAGCGAGAGCTGAATTGTTAAGAATAAGTTAAAATTCACCAGATTCAGATAAGAGGATGTATGTGTGCATTAAGAAGAGGGGCAGAGAAGGAAGAAGGAACAAAAGTGGAAGAGGGGGTCATTTTAGAATTATTTGGTATGAAGCTAAACCAGAGATGAGGTGAACTTTCCAGCTGTGCCTTGCAGTTAACCTCACTCCTTATAGTATCGTACCTTTTATTACACAATTTGGTTTTCTTCTTTTTTTAATTTTTATTTATTTATGATAGTCACAGAGAGAGAGAGAGAGAGAGAGAGAGAGAGAGAGGCAGAGACACAGGCAGAGGGAGAAGCAGGCTCCATGCACCGGGAGCCCGATGCGGGACTCGATCCCTGGTCTCCAGGATCGCGCCCTGGGCCAAAGGCAGGCGCCAAACCACTGCGCCACCCAGGGATCCCCACAATTTGGATTTCAAAAGGCTTGCTTTCCTTATTCCTAGATGAAGAAAATGTCTAGAAATGCTGAATAACAGATTAATCTGTAAGGTGAAGGTTTTATGCTTGTGTTCTATAGTTTTATTGAAAGCGTCCAAAATTAAATTGATTCACGAATATAAAAGGTTGATTTATTTATGTCTAATGGGGAGGTCCATTTCCTCTCAAGTTTCCAACTCAATTCCACAGAACCAGTCATTTCAAATCAGTGGAATTTCCAAGTTACCTGCAGTTTGGGCAAGACAGGATGAAAAAATAAAAATGAAACTGAAAATAAAGCCAGAACACTATCTAGTCTCATATTTGTGACATCCATGTTTAGTAAAGGTTGAATGTCTTTATATTTGTGCTCAGCTTCAGAAGAGAAAGAATTACAAATTATACCCAGTCCTTCAGAGATAAGAACTCAAAGTTGCTTGTTTAATGTATCAATAAAAAGAAATATACCAATAATGAGAAAAGACTTATTACAAATGATATTTTTATATATGATCACTATATTTTTAAAGACAACATTATTTTGGTATAATAGATATTATTTTAAACTTTCACACTCGGGCAGGAAAAATTTATAAACCGCAGCATGAAAGTCTACCAAAAGTCTACTTTTTCATCTCGAATGAAGAGTCGTTCACACCTGGGCCAAGTAGCATTCTACTCTGACGCAGCTGGTGGCTCATTTGAAAAATTTGGGTTAGATCCCACTCTTATTCTAAGATTAACAGAAGGTAAGTCTAGATTACTGTTAAAGAATATTTTTTGAATATTTACTATTAATGTCAGGTTGGGGGGCTTTTCTGGAGGTAAAAAAAAAGTATGCTGTCTCATACTATGGTTGAGTGGAAGGGAAGGGAAGGAAGGGAAGCCCTTTTTTGTAAATGGAAGCCGAGAGTCAGGACAAAATCTATTTTAAATAAGAAAACAGGGATGCCTGGGTGGCTCAATGGTTGAGTGTCCGCCTTCAAGTCAGATGGAGTCCCACATCAGGCTCCCCGCAGGGAGCCTGCTTCTCCATCTGCCTGTGTCTCTGCCTCTCTCTGTGTGTCTCTCATGAATAAATAAATAAAATCTTTAAAAATAAAAAAGTAAATAAGAAAACCTATTTTTCCAAGAAATAGATTGTTACTTATTTTTATGTCTCTAAGGAAGAAAGCCACTGTCAAAACGATACAGTATTAAAGGTTATGGCTAGGACCATCGAAATTCATTTCTAGATATAGAAATATATAGAAACTTTCTAAAGAGAAGTCGTGACTTTCCAGGCCATACAACTCATAGATCCAGGATCAGGAAGCTAATAGAGTTAAGTAAGTTTCTCTGTTGTTACAAAAACATAACCTGTTTTAATGGTACCTGAAGGCAACATGTTAAAATATTACAGGCTATGAATTATTGCTCTATGAAAAGGGGCCATGTGGTAATCAAAATGTCATGGACATTTCTTACTTATCAGATCAAGAAGTGCCTCCAAATGAAATAGAAAGCAGTTTGAAAAAAAAAAAAAAGAAAAAAAAAAGCAGTTTGAAGCCAGTGAGGTTGAAGTGATAAATGCTAAGATGATGGTGTCATAAAATCTTCCCCCAAAATGAGTCTTGTCTAAATTTTTAAATTAAAAAGGAAGGCAGAAAGGAAGGAGGAAGCAGGGAAGATACATTGAGTGTCCAGGATTTGCCATGGTAACTTAAAAATTTGGTAACTTTGCCAAATTGTGATGAAAAAAAAATCTTCAGAAAACAACAACAAAACACTTAGGAAAGAACTCCAGAGTCAATAATTAGTATAAAAGAGGGAAGCCATGTTAACTTTTTTTAGATTGTGAAGGTGCATATTCTGCACTATAGTATGAAAAAGTGCAAATGTCAGGCGACATGGTAGTATCAGTGACCACTGATAGGGTACAGCTAGGTTCAGTCTTGTGTCTCGTAGTTCACCTCTGTAGAGTGGTCAACCCTAAGTCATCAAGAGCACTTAAAATGATATGTGATATGTTTTAGAGTTCTACATAAAGTGGCTACCTCCAAAAATCCTTGCCACACTACTGCTTCTGAGATAACTAGCGAAGATGGCTTTGCAGGTGACTCTATATGACACCATGCTGATTGACAGAGGGGTGACTGGTCTCTTAAGAGTAAATGACATAAAGTAGACTCTTAAAAAAGGAAATGGTAAAATTGTTTGGTATTATCCAAGGCAATCTGGGCTCTGTCAGCAATGGAAATCAGGTTGTCAGTTTTTGCCAATTACACAGACAAGCAATTTGGACGTTTTTTGTGGAAAATAGAGAAATTCTCCTCAGACTCTTTCCAATTAAGAGTTGATTTGGTTGAAACCCCCATCCCCCAGCTTTACATTTCCTGCCTGAATTGATTAAAGACAAGTCTACATGATGTAAAAGGAGCAAGTGACCCCTACTTTGGGAGCCCAGTTATTTTTGTGTATGCAGTAGTAGCCAACTGTATGCCATAGTAGCCAACTGCTAGATTACCTTGAAGAAATTACACAGGCAACTGTCATAGACAGATTGGTTGGGCTGCATAAAAGACGTGCCATTTCCTCCTCTACGTGGCTGACATCAACTCAGCCAGGTAGTATCATGGTAAAGTAGCCCAAAATGTAAGCATAACTATAATATTTAATAAATGGACAGCATAGGATTTTGTTTTTAATATTGAAATTTATTCCAGTTCATGTGACCATCATAAATGACCAAATGAGAGCTACAGTAAGCACTTTTGTGCTTTTTGTTCCATTAAAAATGTTTTAAAAAGTAAACTGAATCTGAATCTAATCAATCACACATGGGAGATTGAGCACATGTTATTTATATATATATATATATATATATATATATATATATATATATATATATAATTTATTTATTCATGAGAGACACAGAGAGAGAGAGAGGCAGAGACACAGGCAGAGGGAGAAGCAGGCGCCACGCAGGGAGCCCGATGTGGGACTCAATCCCCAGACTCTGGGATCACGCCCTAGGCCGAAGGCAGGCACTAAACTGCTTGAGCCATCCAGGTGTCCAGAGCACATGCTAAATAATACCCTGAGGATGCAATCTGCCATTAATCAGGAAATTCTACAGGAAAATTGATCTGGTTTCTTCTTTGCTTTCTCTTTCTTTCTTTCTTTCTTTCTTTCTTTCTTTCTTTCTTTCTTCTTTCTTTCTTTCTTCTTTCTTCTTTCTTTTTTCTTTTTTTTTTTTTTGAGAGGGAGAGAAGAGAGGGAGAGGCACAGGATGAGGGAGAGAATTTTTAAATTTTATTTAAATTCAATTAACATATAATGTGTTATTGGTTTTAGAGGTAGAGGTCAGTGGCTTATCAGTCTTATATAACACCCAGTGTTCATGACGTCACGTGTCCCTCTTAATGTCCATCACCCAGATACCCCATCCCCCACCCTCTCCTCTCCAGCGACCCTCAGTTTGTTTCCTAGGATTAAGAGTCTCTTATGGTTTGTCTCCCTCTCTGATTTCATCATGTTTTATTTTTTGGGAGAGAAAGAATCTTAGGCAGGCTCGGAGCCCAGCACGGAGCCGGATGCAGGGCTTAATCTCACAGCCCTGAGATCATGACCTGAGCCGAAATCAAGAGTCAGACACTTAACCAGCTGGGCCACCCAGGTGTCCCGATCTGGTCGCTTAGACCAATAAGTGGCATGGAAGAAAGGTAGTGTGTGTGGAGAGGTGGGCATGGCAGTTGTAGGTAAAAAATCAGCTTAAAAAAAATCAACTTTAGAAGTTATACCAACCAAAATGATCTTTGTTTAGATTTTAATATTTTTAACTCTAAAAGTTATTTTTGAGACAACTGGGGAAATTTGAACCCAGACTAGGTATAAGAAGATATTTATTTGGGTGATAGTTGTACAATGGATATGTTTTTAAACTGTTTTATCTAATGGCATATATTTGGATTACGTGATAACAATGGCTTAGATTTGCTTTCGAATATTCCACTGAGGGGGAAAGTGAGGGTGGCAATAGATGAGACAAGATGGGTAAGACGTTGATTGTGTTGAAGTAGGTGATAGGTACATGGCAGTTCATTTTATGACTCTAATCTTATGAATGTTGAGGATTTCCATAATAAGTTTTTTATGTATTAAAAAGAAAACTGTTATAACTAGGTGCTTGTTACTTTCACATATATTATTTCAATGTATTATTCTAATTCTCCACAAAATGTTGTTAGATGTTTCTGTCTCTTCTCCTCCTCTGATGAAAATGGCTCAATGAGGTTGAATCACTAATGAAAGGTCACTAGGTGGATGCAGAATCCAAACCAATGCCTGTCTGACTTCAAGGCTTATTGTTTGTCACCCATAATTACAGAACTATTTTTTAATGATTCTAATAATCATTATTGCTATTATTATTGACTTGGAAAAATTAAGTGATTACTCATCCCAATTGTATTTTTAATAATAGCTAGCAATTATTATTATTTTTTAATAGCTAGCAATTATTAAGGAGTTATTAGGTGTTGGGGCGCCTGGGTGATTCAGTCAATTAAGCGTCTACTCTTGATTTCAGCTCAGGTCATGATCTCAGGTCGTGCTCCGCACTGTGGGTGGGGCCTGCTTAAGGATCTCTCTCCTCCTCTGCCCCTCCCTGCTCAGGCTCTCTCATTCTCTCTCTCTTAAAAAAATAAAAGTTATTATGTGTTTCATAGCATGTTGCTTCACTTTCTTCTCACACTGTGAGGTTGAAATAATAGTCATGACCCACTTAGCTTAGTTTATGCTGTTGTCATAAACCATTCCTAAATTTCAGTATCTTGCAAAACATAAGTTTGTTATTCACCCTTCAACTTTGGTGCTTTTCATTGGGTCCTGCGCTGAAGGAACAGCCCCTGTCTGATATGGTGCTGGAGTTACAGAAGGAGAAAGAGGGAACCAGTGGTGGTTCTTAAAACTTCTGCTTGGAAGCCATATGGTCACTTCCACTGGCATTCCATGAGCCAAATCATGGTGAAGTCTGATACCAGTGGGGGCAGGCTGGAGAATCTTCTTACAGAGAGGAGCAGAAATTAGTTTGGAACAATGATACAATCTACCACAATTAGTATCCTCATTTTTACAGATGAGGAAACTGAGGCTTGGAGAAGGTGAATAATTTACTCACGTCCTTACAGCTAGGAAGAGGCGGCCAAGGAGACTGTGGGCTCTCTAGTGCAGCGCGGGCTCTCTGGTTATTTGGGAAACACTATTTTATTTCTACTTCTATTTACTTTTCATCAAGGGACTTCATTCTATACCACATTCTTTTGGTTTTTCATGAAGCGAACATGATTGAAATGCAGCCTGTGTATAATTTTTCCAGGATGAAGAAACCTTGAAAGAAAACTTGGGTCTTTTTTATTGTGAGATGGTAAAGCTAGTAGTCCTCTTTTTCTTTCCTGCTGTAAATTTGGTTTGTGATCCCCCAATAAATCTTGTCAAAGGACTTCAGTTTTATATCCAGATTGGCCAAAACACTAGAATTAATATTTTTTAAGGTTTTATTTATTCATTCATTAGAGACATGGGTTGGGGGGCAGGGTGTGCACAGAGACACAGGCAGAGGGAGAAGCAGGCTCCATGCAGGTTGCCTGATGCAGGACTTGATCCCGGAATTCCAGGATCACACCCTGGGCTGAAGGCAGGTGCTAAACCGCTGAGCCACCCAGGGATCCCCAAAACACTAAGAGTTAAAACAGTTCAGTCCACCTAGCACAGCCCTAGGAGTCATATGCCCCTCTGCCACACATTAGCTCTGTTGTCTTGGGCAAGTATCTTGACATCTCTGAGCTCACATACAGCATGGGTGTAGAAACATGTACCTTCTTGGGGTTAGTGTTAGGATTAAATAAAATTATTCATTTAAAGTGTCTAATATAGTTCTTAGAATATGACAGAAACAAAATAAATGGTAGTTACTACTATGAAATTAGTTTTTTAGCGATTAGGAAAAAAGTTTATTTGAAGGTAATTTTTTTTAAGTCAGATACAACCTGTATCCAGTAATTTAATTACATAGCTTTTATTTTATATAAGCTCCTGAGGGTTAGAACTAAACCTCAGTCTCTCAATTTTCTTTGAAGGTGCAGACACAAAAAGGACACTTCATGAATTTATTAATGACCAGAGAGACAGGTTTCTGCTGGAGGTAGTAAAAATAATTTCTTTCTCCCATTAGTCAAACAGAAGACTTGCTGCAGAGCATTGCCAAATTTCACCCTTGACATTTTACTTTTCCATTATATGTTCCAGATCTATTGCTCCTATCCTTTACTGAACAACTTCAGCTGGGCTTTTGTCATTATTCCACCAAAACTACTTTTGTCAAGGTTCTTGGTGACTTTCCCATTGCCAAGTTCAAACTGTCAACCTCATGGTCTTCCTTTTCCTTCCCTTTCAGCAGCAGTTAGATCATTTGGTCACTTCCTCTTTCCTGAAATGGCTTCTTCGGCTGGTTTCCAAGGATCCACTGTCCCTTGATTCTTTCTCATCACTGGCTGCTCACTCCTTCACAGTGTTCTTTTCTTGTTCCTCTTCTCCCTGGTCTCCAAATGTTGAAGCACTCCTTGCTCTGTGCTCTCTCTGCCCTCCTCCAGGCCCCTGGCTTTATAGTCCACTTCCCTATTAACAATTTCCAAATTTATGTCTCTACCCTGATCCTTTTCCCTGAATTCCAGACTCACAAAGGCAACCATAATTCTTACCATAGCCACTTAGATGCCCAGTGGGCACCTCTGCTTTCACATTTCCAAAATTTTGCCCCTTCCATACTCTTCCCTACCCCCGCAGATTTGCATCTCGTGGTGTGCCCCCATTGCAGTGGGTAGCAATTTTCATTTTTTTCCAGTTGCTTGGGCAAAACCTGTTGGAGCTATCCTCAACTCTCCAACTTACAACCCACATCCCAATATACTTTCAAATATATTTTCTCGGGGATCCCTGGGTGGCTCAGCGGTTTAGCACCTGCCTTTGGCCCAGGGCGCGATCCTGGAGTCCAGGGATCCAGTCCCGCGTTGGGCTCCTGGCATGGAGCCTGCTTCTCCCTCCTCCTGTGTCTCTGCCTATCTCTCTCTCTCTCCATGTCTATCATAAATAATTAAATAAATCTTAAAAATATATATATATATATATTTTTCTCCCAATATATCCATATGCACACTACTTTTCATGACCTCCCCTGCCACCACTCTAATCCATGTCACCAATATCACTTGCATGAATTATTGATATAACTTCTGAATACCGGTATCCTGCTTCTACTTCTGCTCCCTACAGTCAGCATATTCTCCACACATGCCCCTCCTCTGCTGAAGACCGCTAGTGACTTTATCTGGTGCTCCCCAGTTGTTATTTCTTTAAAATTATCTCATTTATGTATTTTAAGTTCTTTTGTATTTTAATGCATGTGACATTATAATTTCTTTTTTCAGGCATGGCATTAAAAACCCAAGTGAATGATTATATTCTGTACTAAAAAAATAAAATAAAATAAGAGCTAGATGTCAAAGTCGTATTTGGGGATCTAAACAGGGTTCTTGGAGGCTGGTTCAATACCCCTACCCGTGTGCAGTTTGGAGGAATGTGGCATAGACATTAGCAGGGTTAAAACCTTATTCTTCTGTCCTACTTCCCAATGGAGGAGGCTTGGTAACTGCAGACTGCCCAGTTTCCCAATGCCTGAAATATTGGAGGGATATTGTGGATAATACAGGTAGACTTGCTCTTTGGAGTAATATGTACTGTTTTTTATTTTAATTTTTTTTTTAGGATAGAACCTGAAGGGATATGGAGCTACTTTTGATTTGTGGGACACAGCCATGGTGGAACAATAATTGAGCCTCTTCATAAAAGGGAAAGAGGAATTAATTGGTCTCCCTTCTAAAGTCCCCAAAATAGGGGGATCCCTGGGTGGCGCAGCGGTTTGGCGCCTGCCTTTGGCCCAGGGCGCGATCCTGGAGACCCGGGATCGAATCCCGCGTCGGGCTCCCGGTGCATGGAGCCTGCTTCTCCCTCTGCCTATGTCTCTGCCTATGTCTCTGCCTTGTCTCTGCCTCTCTCTCTCTCTGTATGACTATCATAAATAAATAATTAAAAAAAAATAAAGTCCCCAAAATAAAATTCCTCTATGAAATAAAGGCTGTAGTCTCAAGACTTAGCATGCTATTGCTTCTAAACCAAGTGATCACTTACTATGCAAGTTATTTCCCCCTTTATCATGAGAATGTTGAAATGTGCTAGCAATGGGCTAGAAACGTGGAATAATGTTGCACTTCTGTTTTTAATATTTGCAGTATGCCCTGTCAACCAAAAGAAATACGATTAAAAAGTTTGAAAACCACATGGCAGTGAAGGAACGGCAACTCATAAAAGCAGAAAAAAAGCTCCAAGAAGATGCAATGGCCTTTGAAGAGTTCCTTCGAGAAAATGACCAGAGATCTGTAGATGCTCTGAAAATGTTCGTTTGGTTCATTCTGGCCAAATTGCCTCCCCCCCAACACTCACCCCCACCCTCCCCAGTTTCTCAGAATACAATGCAACACAAAACAAACTAACAAATCCCCTTGTTACCCCTTGTTACTTTTCAGTGCAGCACAGGAAACTATCAACAAGCTCCAAATGACCACAGAGCTAAAGAAAGCCAGTATGGAAGTGCAGGCAGTGAAAAGGTGAGCCCAGGGCACCCTCTTTTCCTGCTCAAATGTCCAGACCCTGTTGAGACTTACTTGTGCCTCACAAGACCTACGTGGGACTATTCCTTATCAGTTGATCATAAGTATGACCTCCTTTTTAAACAAGTAACCTGTCAATCAAGGGCCGGCTGTCTCTGCCTGGGTGTCAGAGCACAGTGACCTCTGGCTGAAAAGTTCCTGTAACTTTCTCACTGTAGAAGCCTAGAAATGGGTTAAGAAGCAAGCCTGTGTTAAGAGTAAACTGTAAATTATTTTCTAAGTGCCTTCTCTCCTTCATTCTAAGGGATATTTCTTTCCACATTTTAACATCTCTGAAATTGGGATTCATGTTTACAACCGTCTCTTAACTATAATGGGCAGTATTTTTTTATATTCATACTCACACTTAGTTGAACCTAAAATCGATATTAAAAGCCAGGATCCATAATGACGGAAATTGGGATAAAATTACTCTACTACCTATTTCTTTCTTTCTTTCTTTCTTTTTTTTTTTTTTTTTTTAAATTTTCAAGCCCAGATGTTTTCTTCTGTGGTCAAGTGTATCTCATTTGATCTAATTTTAAATATCTAAAGAAGCTTCCTTCTATCATCATTCTTGGACAGGAATTTCATGACACAGGAGACACTAGTCTTGGTATCAAGTCATACTAAAACTTGTTTGTTTGTTTGTTTTTTCTTTTTGAGGCTTTGATACTTAGTGTTTCCCTAAAACAAAGTCTTCAAGATTTGGGAGAAGAGGAAAACAGCTTGTCTAAAATACAGCAAATGAACTGGATGGCAGTTTCTTTGAAACCAATTGTTATTGACAGAATGTGTTTTCAAACACATTCTGGGTATGGAAGCCTATTTTGGTAGCCTGAAGTTGAAGGCATTCCAAGGTGGAGACTTCCCTTCCTTCACTCCATCGTGTAATTAGAAGATTCTGCTCTATTTGTAGAACCAGAGTAGCAGCTGCTATGCTTGCAGAGAGGACTGTATTTATGCACGAAGGCCACCCAGCAAACAGCCTTGCTGAAAAGAACTTGCTCAATTAGTGTATATGTGTCTCATCATCCTAGAAAGGTGCAAAAGGTCATGAAAAACAAGCTGGGAACAGCACAAAGGACGCAGGCACCTGCTATTTATTTCCTTTTTTTCTCTCTATGGGCTTGGTGTGGCCCAGGAAGGTCCTCCACTGCAGGTAGGGCTGGAAAGGGAGCTTGTTCTGAAGCTTTTGCTTGAAAGCTGTGTAATTCTAGCCATTTTAACCCTGTTCTTGCAGCACATTTGGGAGGCTTCTTTCTTTTTTTAAAAAAAAAGATTTTATTTATTTATTCACAAGAGACCCAGAGAGAGAATCAGAGACACAGGCAGAGGGAGAAGCAGGCTCCTCACAGGGAGCCTGATGGGGGACTTGATCCCAGGACCCGGGGATCATACCCTGAGATAAGGGTAGATGCTTTGGGTGAAGAGGAAAACAGCTTGTCTAAAACTGCCATCCAGTTCATTTGCTGTATTTTAGACAAGCTGTTTTCCTCTTCTCCCAAATCTTTGGGTAGCTGCCCAGGTGCCCTGGGAGGCTTTCAATCTAAAAATAAAGGGGTAGTAGAATGAGGGGCTCCCAACTGCCTTCTGTGTGATGTGTTGAGCCAGTCTCTTACAGACTCTTTGAATCTCACTCACATCAGGGCTTAAGGAAGGCCCTGACTGAAGGAAATGCTGAAGCTGGGGAAACCGGTATAGGAGTAATATATTAGTCAGGACATTGAGGGGGTATGATTCAGGAAGCCTCAATATGGGTGGGGCTCCCTTTCACAAGGGCCTTCACTGTTTTTTTAAACATTCCTTCACGGTCCACTTTGTAACATGGTTACGGGAAAGCAACCTGAGGCTGGGGAGAGGCTTTCAGCCCAAGTCCCTGGATGTTGTTGGCGAAAGCTTGAGCATCTGAGTCAGCTAGACCCGGGTGTGAGTGCTGGCTTTGCACTGGACAGCTGGACAGATGACTTTGCAAGTCATTCATCTCTTCTTCCAAAAGACAGGAATAATACCTATTTTATGGTCCTGTACAGAGAATGAAATAATGCCTATAGTGCATCCTCCATATTGCCCACTCTACAGTAGGTGCTCCTTGGTGTTAGTTTTCTTTATTCTTTTTACGTAAGTACCAACTTCTGCTACCTTCTCATTTCTCCCTATGTCTAAAATTTAATATATTTCTCTAAAATAAATGAGTAAAACTATCATCAGTCCATTCCATGTGTATATATCCTTGACATGTTTTATTCAAAAAGCACTCCTGTGGGTTTTTTCTTCTCCTCTTATCTTATTGACACCCATATTTTTATGACCATACTTATAATTTTTGTTATATAAATTATTACTCAAATACATAATCAAGGCAACAAATTCTGTGAAATCTTTTTTTTTTAAAAAAGGACATGCTTTCACACAGATATTTCTAATGATATCTTCATTTCTTTTGAGTAGTGAGATAGCAAAAGCAGAATTCCTCCTTAGAGAGTACATGAAATATGGATTTTTTCTGCTGAAATTGTCTCCAAAACACTGGCAAATCCAGCAAGCACTGAAAAGGGTGCAAATGACAACGAGCAGAGACAGTATGAATGTTAGTCTTCCAGTACTAACAAGTGAGTCACATATTCTTAATTTCAATTAAATGTCCCTAAGTCTCAAATATTGTTTCAATATTTATTTGTTCCTTATTAAACTGTCAGAATTTCTATTTTAAGCAAAACCTGAACAAGGATTCCACTATCTCTAATATTATTATTTTTTTTTTAATTTTTTTTTATTTATTTATGATAGTCACAGAGAGAGAGAGAGAGAGGCAGAGACACAGGCAGAGGGAGAAGCAGGCTCCATGCACTGGGAGCCCGACGTGGGATTCGATCCTGGGTCTCCAGGATCGCGCCCTGGGCCAAAGGCAGGCGCCAAACCGCTGCGCCACCCAGGGATCCCTAATATTATTATTATTTTTAGAAATTTTATTTATTTATTGAGAGAGAGAGAGAGAAAGGGAGCATGCGCAAGCAGGGGGAGGGGCAGAGGGAGAGAATCACAAGTAGGCTCTTTACTGAGCGTGGAGCCCAACTTGGGGCTCTGGCTCAGGACCTTGAGATCATGACCTGAGCTGAAATCAAGTCAGTTGCTTAACTGACTAAGCCACCCAGGTGCACCAGTATTACTAATCTTTTAAAGTCTTAAAAAATCTATTATCACAGAGTCTCAGAAATTAACACAGAACAGTACTGGTATTATGAAGTCAGCTCAAGGGGCCCAAAATAGATCTATTTTATATATAAAAATTGAATAAGTGATCCAATGAGATCACAAATCAAAAAAGAAAACTACCCCTTCCAGCAACATGGGGGTAACAAGGACCAGACTCACCCTCTTGCCCCCCAAAAAATCTGAAGAATATATGAAGCAATAGGCTTCAGGCATCAGGCATCAAAGAGAGAAACAGAGTGATCCGTGAGAGAGGAGAGGCAAATGCTGGCCTCAGCGCACTGCCTGGGAAGCATTTCCAGGATGCGGCATAGGAAAGAGGAACCCAGCAGTGCTCATGTATTGAAGATCAAGCAAAGGGTGCAGGGAGGCTGGAGTTCCCAGAGCATAGTACTGGAGAGGAGAGAGCTATACAGAGAGTTCTCTGCAGAGTTCAGTGAGAGCAATCCTGAGACTCTGGGGTAAGACCACTGACCCCATAGAAGCCAGAAACCTACAAATCAGGGAAAACTCTGTTCCAGGGAGCTGACCAGCACCCCAGTGATGGCTGTCCTGCTCAGTACCTCTCACTGTGCTGTGATTAAATCAGATCATATGCACAGAGTATTGAGTACGGTGATGGCACTTGATTAAACTCAATATAGTGTTTGACAAAAGAGAAAACATATAAAAAGGAACATCAGGAAGTAATTGCATTTAACAGCTTAAAATTCAGTGCTCCTAGACTTGTCCTCTAATTAGAGGATGCTCAGAAAGCAATGAGCTTTTCAGGCCAGAGGAGTGAGTGGCTGACACTGGGATTATAGAAGTTATGAGAGACTGATGCAGGAAATAAAAGACCTGCAGGTCCTGCCCTGGAGGTCAGTTCCCATCCATTCCGCCTGTTCCAGAGACCAGCCCTTGCCGTCTGCATCATACATTTGTCTGTTACAATGTCCCCATCCTATATTTCTGTCCCTTTAAATTTTCACAGTAACTTTACCTTCACCCATGAGACAAACCTCTCATTCTCAGAAACGTTTTCTCCCCTTTCTCTCTCCCTTTTGTTTTTCATTTCTAGAATTAAATACAAGGAAAACAGAGAGCAATATTGAGGAATCCAGGAAGATATCATTTTCAGATGACTATTATATGGAAAGAGGTAGCCAAGGTAACATCAGAGATTTGGGACTTCACTCATAGAAGTAAAACCAGAGTTCCATCTCAAATTGGAAATCCAGGATGTATAAGCTAACCTGGCAAACAAAAAGTGGTGTTCATATTACCCGTAATCCTTACAAGCTAGGAGTTCCATTTCTTTCTCTTTGATATTATTCTAAAACTTGGAGAAGTGATGACTGGACAGGACAGGCAAAGAAGTGAAGGGCAGAGAACCTGTGGCAAGTTATCCCCTCCACAGGATGTAACAATTGAAGTGTCCATCATTTCTATTTTTTGCCTTGATTTTAAAAAATCTGTGATTAGAAAGGGAGACAAACGAGAGACTCCTAACTCTGGGAAGCAGACAAAAGGTTGCAGAAGCGGAGGTTGGGGGGATGGGATAACTGGGGGATGGGCAATGAGGAGGGCACTTGATGGGATGAGCACTGGGTGTTATACTATTTGTTGACAAATTGAATTTAAATTTAAATATGTAAAAAGAAAATCTGTGATTATGTAACAAATATATATGGTTAAGTAAAAAAGAACTATGACTTATATTTCACAATTTATGCCCCTGATTTGGGACTATCAAGAATTGCATCATGTTTTTGACAATATGTACTCTGCACCCACCCCCACCCCCTACCCAAACCAGTGCCTTTGATTTTATTCTTAGACTTGGAACCCAATTTCAGTAGAATGAAAGAGCTTGCTCCACTTTCTAGGATTATTGTTCTGATAATAATAAAAAGAATGGGTATACCCATGCAGGAAAAAATATCTTGCACAAATAACAAGGACTCATTTCTAATTGCATGTTACTTCTTTTCACCTCCACCCGCACCAATGACGTGGACATCGCCTGGACATTTTGAATAGGAAAACCACGCAAGAAGACCACTCTCACCCTAGAGAACACGAAATCATCCTTATCAACGTACGGTACATACTTGATTAATTCTCTGGGAAACTGTGAATGTTTTTCAGAAAAATATCCCTTTTAGCCTTTCGTCAACATATACATATCACACATCCGTACTCCTCCTCAGATTCTAGAGGCAGCGGTTTTTGGGTGCTACTGAGGTGACTGAGCTCCCACATTTTTTGATAAGTGCCTGCCACTGCTATTTGCAGAAACTGCCTGTCCCCTGCATCTTGGGTTTGGCTCTTTCAGAGCCATTGCCAGTTGTTTATTAAGCTACTCTGCTGATCCTTGTGTTTGCAGTTTTACCGTGTTCTTCAAAATTGTTGAAATAGGATCGCAAAGCTTTTTTGTTTGTTTTGTCCCTTGCCTGATTGTTAACTCATTTATACTCATTATTCATAAACTGCTAGTTCTCAACCCTGGCTACTCCAAGGGAGCTTTAAGAAAATACATTGATGTCCAGGATAGGTACACTGGCCCCCAAGGAGAGGATCTGGGCTAGTACCACAGTATCCATGACAATTCCATATGACAAAAGTCAACACAGACACTGTACTCTAAATTTCAGGAACTCAAGGTCACTCCATTTCTGTGGCATTTAAGAGTCAATGTTTTTATTTTGCTTTTAATGAATTTTTGAAATTTTGAGATAGTTGTAGATTCACCTATAGTTGCAAAAAAATAACACAGAGCGATCCATGTGCCCTTTACCCAGTTTCCCCCAATGGTAACATCTTGCAGTATATTACAACCAGGATATTGCCATTGGTATAGTCAAGACACAATCAAGTACAGAACATCACCATGAGGATTCTTCATGTTGCTTCTTTGTAATACATCCACTTCCCTCTCTCCTCCCCTTGACTCCTGGAAACCACTAATCTATTCTCTATCACTTCAATTTTGTCACTTCAAGAATGTTACATAAATGGAATTATACACTATGCAACCTTTTGGGATGGGATGTTTCATGGAACATAATTCTTTGAAGGTTCACCCAAGCTGTTGGGTCTAAAAATAGCTGGCTCCTTATTATCGCTGAGTAGTATTACACTTAACCCTTGAACAACATGGGTGTGAACTGTGCACTGTCCCTTATATGTGGGATTTTTTTTATATAGTACAGTACTGTAAATGTATTTTCTCTTATGATTTTCTTGACATTTTATCTAGTCTACTTTATTGTATGAATATAATATATAAAACATACAAAATATGTGTAAGGATTCAGGTGAATAGTAGGCTGGTTAAGTTTTGGGGGAGTCAAAAGTTATATGCAGATTTTTGACTGTGTAGGGGGTTGGGGCCCTCAATCCCCATACTGTTATCAAGTCAACTATATATGATATGGACACACTGCAAATTAACTATTCACTCACTGAATGATATCCAGATTGTTTCCAGTTTGGGGCTATAAAGAATAAAATTGCTATATATTTGTGCAACTTTTTGTGTGCACATCCTTTCCATTTCTCTGGAATAAATGCCTAGAGTACAATTGCTGAATTGGGTGGTAGGTACATGCTTAGTTTTTAAAGAAACTGCCAATTTGTTTCCCAGAGTGGCTACACCATTTTGCATTCCCACCAACAATGAACAAGGGATCCGGTTTCTCTACGTTCTCATCAGCAGTTACTGTTTTAATTTTTTTTTTAATTTTAGACATTCTGATATATATATATATGTATATATATAATGCTTTTTTATTTTATTTTTTATTTATTTTATTTTTATTTATTTATTTATTTATGATAGACATAGAGAGAAAGAGAGGCAGAGATTCAGGAGGAGGGAGAAGCAGGCTCCATGCCGGGAGCCCGAGGTGGGACTTGATCCCAGGACTCCAGGATCGTGCCCTGGGCCAAAGGCAGGCGCCAAACCCCTGAGCCACCCAGGGATCCCCCTTATTGTGCTTTAAAAAAAAAGTTTACTCCTGGATACGTTTTTATTTTTATTTATTTATTTTTATTTATTTTATTTATTTATGATAGTCACACACAGAGAGAGAGAGAGAGAGAGAGAGAGAGAGGCAGAGACACAGGCAGAGGGAGAAGCAGGCTCCATGCACCAGGAGCCCGACGTGGGATTTGATTTCGCGTTCCCAGGATCGCGCCCTGGGCCAAAGGCAGGCGCTAAACTGCTGCGCCACCCAGGGATCCCCCGTTTTTATTTTTTTATTTGAGGATAGTGAACATATAATGTTACATTAGTTTCAGGTGTATGACATCGTCAATGCTATTGACGCTCATCACGGGTGTAGCTCCCATCTGTCACCATACAATAGTATTATGATATCATTGACTGTGTTCTTTCTGCTGTGCCTTTTATTCTTGTGACTCATTCATTCCATAACTGGAAGCATGTATCCCCCATCCCCTATCTAGCAATCATTACTTTGCTCTCTGTATTTATAGGTCTGATTCTTTTTGTTTTTTTATTCATTTGCTTTTTTAGATTCCACATGCGCATGAAGTCACATGGGATCTGTCTTTCACAATCTGACTTATTTCACTTACCATAATACCCTCCAGATCCATCCAAGCTGTTGCAAATGGCATCTCATCCTTTTTTGTGGCTGCATAATATTCCTCTCTTTTGTGTTTCATTTGCATTTCCCTAGTAACTAATGGTGTTGAACATCTTTTCATATACTTGTTTACATCTTTATGTCTCCTTTGGCAAAATGCCTGCTTTCTAAATGGATTGTTTTTGTTTCTTACTGTTGAAATTTGAGAATTCTTTATATATTTCTATATTAGCCCTTTGCAGATATGTGGCTTGCAAATATTTCCTCTCAGTCTGTAGATCATCCTTTCATGTTCTTACCAGGGTCTTTTGTAGAACAAAAGTTTTTTATATTGATGAAGTCTAATTTATCAATTTTTTCTAATATGGATCATACTTTTCATATCAGGCTTAGAACTTTTTGCTTAGTGCTAGATCTCAAAGATTATTTTTCCTGTTTTCTCCTAAAAGCTTTTATAGTTTTACATTTAAGTCTGTGATTCATTTTAGGTTAATTATTTTTTAATAAGCTGAGATGTTTAGATTGAGGTTCTGTCTTTCTTTCTTTCTTTCTTTCTTTCTTTCTTTCTTTCTTTCTTTCTTTCTTTCTTTCTTTCTTTCTTTTGCCTCTGAATGTCAATTGCTTCAGCACCATTTGTTGAAATGGCTTCTCCACTGAATTGTTTGTTGTTTTTGTATCTGTGTCAGAAATCAGTTAGGCATTTTTGTTCAGGTCTATTTCCAGATTCTCTACTCTGTTCCATTGATCTGTGTGGCTATCAACCACCCATACAACATGGTCTTTATCATTATAGCTGTTAATCTTGAAATCACACTGATTCTTCTTACTTCATTCCTCTTTTTCGAAATTTTGTTAATTATTCTAGTTCTTTTGGCTTTCCATACAGATTTTAGAGTTATCTTGTCTATATCTACAAAAAAAATCTTGCTGAAACTTTTATTGAAATTATGTTAAACTTTGTTAAGGATTGGATTATATCTCCCAAAAATAGATATTAAAGTTCTAATCACGGTACATATCTATGAATGTTACCTTATTTAGAAATAGGATCTTTGTAGGTATAATCAAATTTAAGTCATGAAAGTGAGCTCTTTTTTTTTTAAATATATTTTTTAAAATTTTTTTAAAATTTATTTATGATAGTCACAGAGAGAGAGAGAGAGAGAGAGAAAGAAAGAGAGGCAGAGACACAGGCAGAGGGAGAAGCAGGCTCCATGCACCGGGAGCCCGACATGGGATTTGATCCTGGGTCTCCAGGATCGCGCCCTGGGCCAAAGGCAGACGCTAAACCACTGTGCCACCCAGGGATCCCCTGAAAGTGAGCTCTTAATCCACTATGACTAGTGTCCTTAAGAGAAGAGACAGAGGTGCAGGGAATATGCCATGTGACAAGAGGCAGAGATTGGAGAGAGGCACCTACAAGCCAAGCAACACTGATGATTGCTGGCAACACAAGAAGCTAACAGAAAGGCATGCAAGAGATTCTTTCCTGGAGACTTAGAAGGGATCATGGCCCTGCTGACAGCTTAATTTTGGACTTTTAGCTTCCAGAACTGTGAGAAAATATTCCTATTGTTTTAAGCCACAAAGCTGTTTGTGGTACTTTGATACAGCAGCCCTAGGAAACTAATTCCAACCTGTACACGAATTTGGGGAGAATTGTCATCTTTACTATATTAACTCTCCCAATCCATGTCTCTCCATTCATTTGGATCTTCTTTGATTTTGTTCATCAGCTGTGCGTAGTTTTCAGCCTGCATGTCCCTGTACAGGTTTTGTTAGATTTACACCTAAAAGTTTCTTTCCTATTTTTTTTTCTTTTTGAGCAATTGTAAATGGCATTGCATTTTTAATTTTAATGTCCTTAGGTTCATTGCTAGTATATAGAAATACAACTGATTGTTGTACTTTTATCTTATGTACTGTGATCTTGCTGAGCTCACTTACTAATTCCAGGAATTTGGGGTTTGATTCTTTGGGTTTTTTTAGATCCCTCTGGATTTTCCATGTAGACCATCATGTCATCTGCAAATAGAGACAATTTTATTTCTTCCTTTATGATATGTACCCCTCTTATTTCCTATCCTTGCCTTGTGGCAGTAGGTAGAACATTCTATGTTAAATAAGAGTAGTAGAAACATACATCATTGCCTTGTCCACAGTCTTAAGAGGATTTAGGTTTTCACCATTAAGTAAAATGTTAGCTGTAGGATATTTATAGATATAGATACCCTATCAAGTTGAGGAAATCCTCTCTATTCCAATTCTCTTTTTATAATAAATGAGCATTGAATTTTGCCAAATGCCTTTTCTGAATCTACCAATACACATAGTAACATGCAAATACCATCTCCACTCCTCAGAAAGTTCACCACTCTCATAGTCTCTTTCATTCATTCAACAAATATTTATTGAGTGCCCTGTGGATTCAACAGTAAATAAAAGACAGTCTCTGCCCTCAAGGAGCTTACCATCTAGTGAGAAAACAGACAAGGGATTAGTCAGTTACAATATAATAAAATGCCATTGGAAGGATAGGCAGAGTGCCACAGGCATGCAAAAGAGGGACCCTTAACTCAGATGACAGGTGAGGGAATAGGAGACCAAGAGCAGGATCAGTGAACACTTCAGAACAGGTGGCGTCCAAGCTGAGTCTGGTGAGAAGACGAGTAGTAAAGGAGGACAAGCTCTGGGAGAGTAGGGGCTTTCTGTCATAAAGGTGGCAGAGCTTGGCTCTGTTCAAAATGGCTGGGCCACAGGGTGTAAGTGAGAGGCTCAAGGGGTGAATAGTTATTGTATCATGAGCAGGAAAACTGTGGTGCTGTCCTAAGGAGACTGTGATTTGTCCCAAGGGTCCTGGGGAGCCAATAGGGTTTTAATCAAGAGTATAACACAGACTCAATCAGATTTTCATTTTAGAAAATTGGATGGAGTAATTTAAAGAATGAAATGGAGGGAGACAAATCTAGAGGTAAGAGGGGCCAGTTAAGAGGAGCCTGTTGTCACAGTTCAGGGGAGAGATAATGAACTGTCCCAACCACAGAGTGACAATGGGAACAAAGAAGGAGAGGCATCTCAGGGAAGTGGCATTGACAGGCTTTGAAAGGCTCGCATAAAGATTGGGGGAAATGTGAGGAAAAGAGAGTGGTCAAAAATAACTCCTACATATCATCAAAGATAACTCCCAAATTTGTGTGGCAACTGGGTGTAGAGTGTTGGCACTCAGTAATATTGGGAACACAGCAAAGGGGAGCAGGCTTGAAGAGGAAGATAAGGAGTGTCATTTTGGATTGTTTTAGTTTTAGACCCTTGCAGGATAGCCAAGTAGACACTGAGGTCCAGTTGGAGGTTGGACAATGAAGTCTAGAACTCAAGAGAAAGAGATAGATGTATGGGAGCCATTAGTATATTAGCAGTGATAGAATCCATGAAAGAGGATGAAATAACCCCAAAAGAGTGGGTACAATGGAGGGGAAGAAGGCTGGGGAACCACAGACATTTATGTTGAAAAGAAAACCAAAAAGGTAACAAGAATTTCAGAGAGGTGGGAGAAAATTGATTAGAAATTGATACCACTGGGATCAAGAGAAGAAATGCTTTCTCAGGGAATGCTTCCTAAATATTCATTTACTTCTATGACTCTTTCTCCATGTTCCCACATCTTACTTCCATAGACTTAAAGGGCAGCTCCATACACGTATTTTGTTCCCTCAAACTCAACATGAATAAAGCAAATATTAATTTTTTTCTTATCTCATCCTTCAACTGTTTTCCATCTTTTTTTTTTTAACTGTTTTCCATCTTGTTAGGATTACTTCCATTATTCCAGGCTCACAGATTACAAATGTTGGAGTTATCTTTTCTCTTCTCTTTGGGTTCCAGTAGCTCTTTCTACTCTTGGTTCCTATGATTTCATTCTTTCATCTATCTCTAGATTCTCCTCCCTTCCCCAATCCATTTACTCACTTTTCCCTTCATCATGACCCTCTACTTGAATGTGTTAATTACTTATCACACCAAAAGCCATCTAACTCTCCCTAGTCCCCGCTTCTTTAATTTTCCAATCATTTTCAATTTATCTTTTTAAAGGGATTTTTCCAGTCACTATGCAAACCACATAATTATTCTTTAAGAATGTACCTCATTCCCCATCCCTCCAATCAACATTTCCTCAGCCTGAACAGAGGATATTTTAAGAAGTAAAATCTGCTCTTCAGAAGGCAAATATTGTATTACTCTGGAACAGGCTTTGTTTTGAGCACTAGAGTAACATGTTTAGTTTATTTGACTGCATTAACAGGGACAAAACAGATGCAGCAATGTAGGCTGTCATGTGTTTCTTTAAAAAGATTTTTTATAAATGCACTTCAAATAATTGGTACCATATGCTTGACCCTTCCTTGTGGTCTCACTTGTTTGCAAATGTCACCCTTGTCCAGATGGAATCTGATTTTTTTTTTTTTTTTTTGCATATGTGTGGAATCCATTGACTCCTGCAAATGGCAGTTCCCTAAAAGGCTAAAAAGGCTATTGAAAAGAACTGTTCTAGTTAGGTTCCAAAGGCAGTTTAGAAATGAAGGAAATCTGTTGACTGAAAATGGTTCAGAAATCAGACATTTTCTTTCTTTTACAGCCACACTGACAGTATCAGTTCAGAAGACAGTTTGGAATTATTTTTAGACGATGATATGGACTATGATCTGGTAACCAGATTATCTTTTTTGATTTAAATATTGTTTGGTGAAAAGTAAAAGTGCTCATTTTTTTCTTTTAAAATTAAAATTTCCTATTCTAAATAATCCACAACTTTCCAGAAGAAATTATGATTTTGATGCTGTTTCCCAGTTGCATCTATAGTTCATCTTTGTCATCATTTTATGAAAAAATGTTTATAAGGAGGTTTAGGAGATAAATATGTTATCTACAATCATCTCGTAAAAATAGTCACTTTCTGATTGCTTCTCATTTTACTGGAGCTCAAGAAATACTGTGTAGCTGTACTAAGATAAACCAGTCTTCAACAAAACAGCCCTTTATTTTACAAGACTGACTTTGAGCTAACCCCATCCTGAATACAACCACAGAAACTCACAAGGAACAAAAAACATTTAAAAACACCATCCATTATTACATATGACACATCTTATACAAGTGATCTTTTTAAAATTGTGGTAAAAAAACATAACAGAACTTATCATCCTCACCACTTTCGAATTTAAGTGTACAGTATAATGTTAACTAAATGCACATTGTTGTAAACAGATCTCTAGAACTTTATCATCTTGCAAAATGGAAACCTGTACCCACTGAACTCCCCTGTTCTCCCTCCCCTGCAGCCAGCCCTGGCAACCACAGTTCCTTTCTAAGAGTTTGATTATTTTAGATACCTCATAAAAGTGAAATTATACATTTTTTTTCTCTCTGTAACTTGGCTTATTTCACAGAGCCTAGTGTCCTCCAGGGTCACTCATGTGGTAGTGTGTGCAGGGATTTCCTTCTTTTTTAAGGCTGAATAATATCCAGTTCTATGAATATACCATATTTTCTTTATCCATTCATCCCTCAGTGGACCTTTAGGTTGCTTCCACCTCTTGGCTAGAGTAAATATGATGAGCATGGTGTGCAAATACTCAAGTCATCTTTTTAAAAATTAAATTTACTTAAAGTAATACATATATTTATTTTTTGGAAAATATAAAATAAAATGGGGGGAGGAAATGACCTTCGCTTAGCCTCCTTTTTTTCTTCTCTTCCCTCTACTGCCTTTCCCCAGACCCCGCTTCCCTTTTTCCTGCCTTGGGCTTATCTTCTGCTGCATCTCTTCTTTCTGTTTTCCTCACCTTCCTTTTTCTTTCCTATAATACCTTTCATCTCCCCCGACACCCTAAATGTCCTCTTGCTGAAGGCCAGTTCTCACACAGAAATAGGCTCCTCTGCCATTCTCTGCCCATGCCTCCATCATAATCAGAACGGTATTCATTTTCCCCACTGTATTTCTCTAGATAAGTCATAGGTGTGTAAATAGCATATTTTTAAATGAATTATATTCATTACTGATTGATTAGGAGCCAGAGCTTTATTTCAAAGAACCAGAAGAGTTACTTCAAGTCCTCACAGAGCTGGAAGAGCAGAATCTAACTTTGGTACAATATTCCCAAGATGTAGATGAAAATCTTGAAGATGTAAATAAAAGAGAAAAACTTATACAGGATAAAATGTAAGTTATTAAAGATAACAAAACAATAGATTTATTCTATTAAGCAGTCTCTAACCAGCGACAGAATCCAACTGATTCCTATAGTGACCCTTCCTCATGGTCTCTCTGGATTTAGGGTGGGATTTTTATTAATAATCATTTATATTGTAGAGTTTAAAATGTAGAAGTTTTATTTACACAGAGTAGACTGGCTTTAGTTTTAGTCTCTACTTCCTTTCACTTGTCAAAACATTTTCCTAGCTAGCAATAATAAAAGGCAGTTTGAAAGATTATAAAGAATTAAAAGGTACTGCCTTGATTTTTTTCAACTGAAGTAGAGTTGACACACGTTACATTAGTTACAGGTATACAACATAGTGATTCCACAACTAACTAAGTTTTGTTTGGTGTACTTTTCACTCTACCATCTAGCTAATTAAATCAGGTTCTGGATGATAAGGCTAATAAATTCATTTTTCTTGGCAGTGACTCTCAGCAAAGCTTATGTGACTTAAATATTATATCATTTCATAATGTACATATGTAGATATATCAGGGCTCTCATAAAAGGGATTTCTGTCACAGGAAGGAGGCTGAATTTGATGAAAATTCCTTCTGTAAAATTTTATATAATTGGAAGTAATATTGGAAGCTACTGGAAAATAGCTTCAAACTGCAGAGAATAAATCTGTTTATCTCCCATTATAAAAATGTGTAAAGCTTTTTTCAGAAGAGTTTTCTGGGTCAGAAGATTGCAATCTTTTCAAACAGTAGGTCAAACTATACTGGACTTTGGAACAAATTAACTTACTGAAAAGTGAAGACCCTACCAATCATGATATCACGGCTACCTGTTACTACTAATGTATCCTTTTCATCCTTGTCTTCTGTCTCCCAATCCTTAGAGCGTATGGTGCTCCCACCCTGACAGTATGAGTCTTAGGAACGAGGTGGGTATGGCTGGGCAGGAAAAGGGTATCTATGTTAGGACTGAATCTATTTCCAGATCACACCACAACTTGGCTTCCTGACACATCAATTCTGCTGCTATTTAGGAGTTTCAAGGGAATCACAGGAAGAAAATGCTTCCTGGAGGAAGTTAAAAGCAGCATCTGTACATTTACTCTTCTCATTTTACCTGAAAAGTTGCATGTACTTTGACAATTTCTTAAAATATACTCGTATTTGGCTTGCTAGACATAGAATGTTGACACATGATATGGAAAGTGTTAAAACTACTGACTGATGGCTTATTTCTAAACCACAAATTGCAGACAAGGGTCTCTTTCTTCTTTTGCAATAGAAATAGCAATATAGAGTTTCTTCTGGAGCACAAGGAAATGCTTAAGGCTAGCTGTGTGAGAGAAGAGGAAAAAGCAGCAGAATTGGAATTAAGGTCCAAGCTATTTAGTTTTGGAGAATTTAAATCAGATGCTCAGGTAATCCTTCTTTGCCTATGGTAATTTTATTTTGGCTTCTGTTAATAATAATGTGCATTCCCTGTCCACTAAGCATTGGAATGGGGAGTTAAGGCACACCACAAATCCTGGGTTGATGACAGAGGCAGAAAACCAGGTTGGAATTATCCTGTCAGTATGTAAGTCAATTTACATACAGAAAGCATTCAAATTGGCAATGAGGTTCTTTTTAAAATGTTGCTCTAATTATTACAAAGTATGATGCTGAGATTTTTCCCCTTATAAATACATTTCTTTTAGTCAGAGTGTATATACATGATATAGTTCATTGCCTATGATCATTTTAGTAGTAATTTGAAGGCAAATAATTAACGGGAAGCACTGAATCAAAACTGAATGGAATATCTGCCTAGAACTGAGCCTCTAGTAGATTCTGGCCTCTCTTGCACAGATAGATCCATTACGGGAGCCCCTGTGACAAACATTAATGTACTATGCATTTACCTGAACATCTCTCCCACCAAGGGACAAACCCCTCCAGGGCAGGGATTGTATGACCCTTCCTAGTTAGGTATGTTAAGTGTCCCTATAAAGTAGGTGCTCAATAAATGTTTGTTTGAATGTTTGAGTGAATGATTCGTTCTAGACCCACAACAAACTCCAGCCAGCATGGATTTCCTTATAAAAAATCTCAAATGAAATAAAAATTCAAATTTCATATGTGAGGCTAATATTTATGGTTATGAAATGGATTTTCAGAGGTAGATTTGGGGGAACTCAATCAGAAGATTGTCCTCCCTAAACATAGGATGAGCAGAGTTACAAAAGCAAGCTATTCATGGCTCGTTTACACACATTTCCTAGGGTGGTTTTGTACCTGGAGTTAGGAGGGAATGGGATCATGCACAGCTAGAGCAAGACGTGGCATGACAGCCACCTTTCAGTTCTTCAATGTTGGCTTTTTTTAAGCCGTATGTCTGGTAAGACATACTTGACAAAATTTACCATTTTAAGTGTACAATTCAGTGTGATTAAGTATATTTGCAGTATTGGGTAACCATCACCACCATCTATTCATAGAATTTTTCATCAAATAGAAACTCTGTACTCATTAAACAAGAATTCTCTCTTCCTTCATCTTCCTGGCCTCTGGTAACTTATTCTGCTTCTTGTCTATAAATTTGCCTATTTTTAGGCACCTCACATTAATGGAATCATACAATAGTTGTCCTTTTGCATTTAGCATAATGTTTTCAAGTTTCATCCATGTTACAGCATGTGTCAGAACTGAATTTCTTTTATGGCTGAAGAATATTCTATTGTATTTGTATTCCACATTCTGTTTATCCATTCATCCGTGGATGAACATTTGGGTTGCTTCCACTCTTCAATTGTTTTCAATAATTCTGAAGCTGATCGGCATAAAAAAATGTCAGATAAGTATCAGCGGTATTTCACCCTCCCCAACCAAACCCCTTCATCCAAGTTTCAGACAGCTCTACAAACAGTTAACATTTTCAATACTCTTAAATTTTGAGGCAACTGGATCCCTAAGCAGAATAGGTAGTAGAATTGATATGAAAATTACTTTTTAAAAGATAAATTTTGGTCACAGGTATAATTTTGGTATTCAAGAATTACACGCTCTGGGAAAATAGGCTTAATAATTCATAGTGTCTCCTAGAGATGGGAAATGCTCGCATGGGAAAGAGGGAACAGAGCAGGGAAATGATAGGGGAAAAGTATTCTTAGAATCACTCCTAGGGGGTCCCTGGGTGGCTCAGCGGTTCAGCACCGCCTTCAGCCCAGGGCGTGATCCTGGAGACCAGGGATCGAATCCCACATTGGGCTCCCTGCATGGAGCCTGCTTCTCCCTCTGCCTGTGTCTCTGCCTCTCTCTCTCATGAATAAATAAATAAAATCTTAAAAAAAAAATCACTCCTATTCTTTCAGGTCCCCAAATGGACAAAACATAATCCTTCATTAGTAAACAGCTTATAATCTAACTTTGATACTCATAAATGATCATAGTTACTCTGGATTTATAACTATAAAATCAAAGTTTTATTCTTGCTAAACTTCTACACTACTTACTACTCCCTAAATGCATTTTTGATTCAGTATTTTACTTTTTAAAATAAAATTTTAAATTCAAGTATAATATTGGAAAATGCACAAATTCTATAAATATCTTTTAAGAACTTTCCTCAAAGTGAACACACCCATGTTTAGGGAACAGACCATTATAACTCCCTGCAGAAGCCTCCCTCACACTCCCTTTCCAGTCTCTACCATCCGTCAAAGGCGACTGCAATCCTGACTTATCAACTAGCTTTCATGTTTTGAACTTTATATAAGTGGAATCATGTCTAGCTTATCTGGCTTCTTTTTCTCAAAATTATGTTTGTGAGATTCATTCACATTGTTTTGTGTAGCTGTTATCTGTTCATTTTCATTGAACATGAAATGGAATGTAAGCTACTGCACAATCTGCAGGATGTATTCATCTCTTTTATTCTTTCAAACAGGGAGCTGATCTAGTTCAATTGGGAGTTATTTGCAGTCAGCACACAGCAGAATGTGACATGGATTAGAATTAGAGAATCCTTAAGAAAGAAAAACTTTAAATGGCATCTAGACATCTCCCACTCTCTTATCCAATTTTGATAGAATTATTACTCCTACACATCACCCTGGTCAGGTCACGTCCTATTCACTGTTGGAAGGCATCCTTTATTTATAAATAAAGCCTTTATTTATCCCAGTTTTGGTCTTCCACAACTCTGGCCCACTCTACCTCTGGGGAGCAGCAGGAACTCCTCCCAACTCTTGCAGCCTCCCAGGCAGCTCCTCCTCCGAGGGACTCTGGGCTGGGTCTGCCATCTGGTGGCAGCTCCGGGGATTGGACACCTCACTTCTAGGTCATCAGAAGGCCTGTACCTTGAGCTTCCTTTTTCCTTTGCGTTTTTGCTCTGCTGGACCAGGCCCTCATCTTTCTCATATATGAGTATGTATTCCTTAACCTCATTCCCTAAGCCTATTTCTTATGCTGTCCTTACCTTGTTATCTTAAGAAAACATCTCTCCTTGTCTTTTCCTGTTTCACAGGGAGAACTTAAAAAAAGAAAAAGAAAAAGAAAAAGGCATTCTAGAAAAAAGAAGACATCCTGAAAGGCCACTATCCATCCACCTCTAACAGTCTTATGGTTCAAGAGCTCTCCGTCGGAAATTTTCATCAACTCTAACCATTCTCATATTAAAGATGCTTTTTTCTCAGAACCAGTGTTCATATTTTTAAAATTAGGACTCCCACTGCAACAAAACTGTTTTCACATACCCAATATACACTTCTTGATGAGTGGGCTGCTTTTATTTTCCCTTTTATAGATCCCTGTATTCCTAAAGTTCTCTAAAATGAATGCACTAATATAAGTAGGAAACAATGTTATTTAGAAAGGGAGAACAAAAAAGAGCTTTACAGCAAATAGGCCTTTCTGCATTTTTCTTTTACTTTTTCCTTTAATATTAGTTTGTGCTTTTCCAAGTTTTCTAAAAGGTGCATTTTTTTTTAAGTTTTGGGTTTCAATTCCAGTGAGCATACAGTTGTATCAGGTGGAGGTGTGAAAAACAGCATGTTTTTAATATAAACAGGAAAATACAGTAAGTGTCAGGGAAGAAAGGGTGCTTAGAGGTAAACAGGACCATCAGAAAAGTGGTTAAACCAGGAGGTGAGAGACACAAGCTATCTGAAGCAAACTATTGGTAAGAGACCTGGACTTGTAATTAAGTGCTGGTGGCTCTGTAAGGAATCTGTGATTGTAGGAGGGTTTTCCCATGGCTCCTGAAGCCATATCTGTCTTGAGTTTAACTTGTCCTTGGCTTCACGATGATTTTCATCTTCTTGAGCAGAAGCAGGAATGGGGGCAGGCTGCTACCTGGAGAACGATTTACTTTGCCCATCAGTTTATTGAGATCCTCTTAACTGCGAATGCCGGGGACACGGTGGGGAAAGAGCCTGAGAGTTACATGGTCCCGAAACACGTTACCTACAAGCTCGAACATATCTACCAACAGTTAAGACAGCGCAGTGGCCAGGTACAGGGATCATCAGCAAGGTTTGGCCCGAGCCTCTACTTAGACCAGAATATGGCAACAGCTTCCAGTTGCAAGAGTGAAAATTAAACTCCTCAAAAGGCTTTGTAGGCCAGCCTGGCAATCTGTTTGCTTCTAACTTTTTTTCCTTTCAGAATGCACTCAGCCATTTATTCAGCAAACATTTATTAAGTGCATAGTTATGTGCAGGTGCTGCTTTAGATAGAAGTATAAACATAACTCCTGCCCTCCAGGTGCTAAAGTCTAGAAGGGGAAATAAGGCATGTATGTATGCAAATACTTTCATATAGGGTGACTGTAGTTTCAACAATGAAGAGTAATAAGTGAAAAAAAAAAAGAAAGAAACGGAGCTCACATGCCATGTTCCAAAGAGATGCACTGAAGTGGCAAAAAAAAAAAAAAAAGAAAAAGAAAAAGAAAAAGATTTAAAATATATGTATACATTGCTTTTACCTGAATGTTCAGGGAATCAGATACACAAAACACTCAAGCATAAGGATATTGTCATATTAAAATTGCCTTTTTATACCTAGACTGAAATATTTTTTAAAGAAAATAATCCAAGGTGTTACTATAGTAATAATCTAAAATTATATCACTGCTGCATTTTCTCACCATTCTATTTTTTTCATTATTTATTTACTTGAGAGAGAGAGAGGACGAGCTGGGGGTGGGGCAGAGGGAGGAGGAGGACAAGTAGACTCCCTGCTGAGCACGGAGCCCATCCTGTGGTGCTTGGGCTGGGGCTTGATCCCAGACTCTGAGATCAGGATCTGAGCCAGTCAGTTGCTTAACTGACTGAGCCACCCAGGCACCCCTAAAGTTTTTTCTTTAAAAAGAAATATGTAGTAGCACATAAGAGCCTTTTCATTACAATACAGTAAAATAGAATTTTACATTTATTGAAAGAACAAAGAAATAGTCATGAGATGTTTTGTTTTCTGTTCCCCTTTTCTTTTCAATCTCAGGAAAAACTGATAGACTCTCTTAGTAAAAAGATTAATCAAGTATACAAAGTCTGCACTGGAGATGCTGATGTAGGCAGCCTCAACCCAGTTCAAAAGCTGGTAAAAGTAGAGTCTCGCCTGGTGGAATTGAGCGATCTCATTGAATCCATTCCCAAAGAAAATGTGGAGGCAATTGAGAGGATAAAACAGAAAGAACGACGGCAAAAGTATAGTCAATGTCTTATGATGGAGGTGTAGTGAATGACTTAATGAGATGAGAAAATATTTTCACTGAGCAAGCCATTACATGGCAAGGATCTCAAGAAAGATGCTGTATATCCAAACCCAGCCCTGCCCTTCTAGAGCTATTATTTAATGTGGGAGACATATTAATCAAATATTCTTGAGATAATGTGTCATTACCAAGTAATGAGCACTGTGAAGGAAAGAGTTCACCAGAGCAACTGATCTAGTTTGAGATGGGTAAAGGAGTTAAGTCTGAAAAAAATGGATTTTCAGGATGAATATTCACAACTTATTATTTTTGAAGAGCTATCTTGTGGAAGGGGAATTGCATTTATAGTAGAGGTCCCAAGGCATAGAATTAGGAGCCTTTCACTGCAAGGAGACTATACATGAAGGAATTGTTTGAAAGAGCCAGGCAATGAGGGTTTTTCTCAGTGCGTAACTGGCAACACTTACACACACAGCATCTACACATTAACTCACTCATTCCTCAAGACAACTTCATAAGGATTATCATCCTTGGAACAGCACTCCCTCCCCACCTCGACACCCATCTCCACATCCTTACCTAACTTGCCTTTCAAGGAGAATGTACTGATTTACAAACTTCCATAGTGAATTAAATAAAGATAACTACCTCTGGGGCAATGATTACAAATATATGATCCCTAGAATAATGTGGCACGTAGACAATGCTTACAGGTGCAATACTGTTCGTGTCCTAACAACAACAAAAAAAGTTAAGAGGCAGACTAACACTATGGCTGACCTGCTTGGCTTCAATGCAGGTTCTGCCCATTTACAACTTGTGACCTTAGGTACAGCACATAATTTCTCCTATGTCTCAGTTATCTGTAAAATGGGCAGTAATAATGGTACTTATAGGGTTTGTACATGGCACATAGTGAGTATTCAAATATTAGATACTAATGTTAGATATTTTGTTATAACTTACCAGCATACGGGGAATATTGTTTCCCCCATTTAAAAACAAAGTACAGAATACATTAAGGTGATCCTGATAGGATTTCATTTAATATAAAGGAAAAATTTTTTAATTATAAAAAAATTACTCCCATAAGATGACCCATGACTGATCACATTAACTTGCATCTTATTCTATGGTAGGAAATATATGCTCATTGAATTGTAAATACAACTTATTTTCAGTAGTGATAAATGAATCTATTTCTAGTTGTTTACCATTATCAAAAAGAGAATTTTGTTTTTTCCTATGGTGTAGAGGTACATTAACAACTCATTTTGCATAAAAAATATTCAGTAAATGTTACTTATAACTGTGTAAATCCATAAAATAGCTATGACTTCGTGAGGGACTATTCTGCACCAAGCATTGGCCAGACAGTTGACATAGGTCATCTCATTTAATTTTATCCTCACAACAACCCTAAAGAGAAAAAGACAAATAGCAGTTCTTGGTCTTAATTTCAGGAGACCATTCAAAAAGATTAACTGGAAAAGTACACTTTTGTGGCAATTCACTGAACTATATACACTGTGGTTTACGCACTTTTCTGTACCTTATACTTTAGTAAAAGGCTAAAGCAGGGGCTGGGTGTTAATTCGAGAGGCCTTGTACACATTAACTGCAAAGTGCTAAAATATAAGTGGAGTGACAAGAAGGCTTTGCTGAGATGCTTGTTTTAGACCAAGATATGGGTAGATTTTACTCCTTCCAAAATGGTGACTAGCAATTTTCTCCAATTTTAACACAAATGGGACCTGTTATTGAGATTTCACCTGAATGCTAAAAAACACAATATGGGTGAAGGTGAAGTATTATTTTAACTTTGAGAACTTATAATATTTATTACTAAAAAATAATGTAGGTCTTTGTTTACTTTCTGTGATTTATAGTTAAAAGAATGTTTTCCTTTTTTGACAGGTTACGTGAAGAGAAAATGAAAGAAAAACAAAAACACCAAGAGGAAAGGCTAAAAGTTGCTCTGGAAAGAGCAGTAGCACAACCAAAGAAAAAGGTTTGTGTTTTGTTATCAACAGGTCCAACTATGTCAGGATGTGAGCACTTCTGTGGCATAAAAGCAAAATACCGAAATCATGTAATATATCCAGCTTTGATTGATTGCTGATTCCTTGTTACTTGGGAGAGAATTCAAATTTCTAGGTCTACAGTTCTCCATTAGACCCACTTTTTAGTAAAAGAAACTTTTCCCCTCTCCTTTTTCTTTAGCTCCAGGTTCATGAAACTGATAATTTTTGCTTTAATTTTTTGAATAGGTAATAACAAGTATATATCTCAAAGTTCAAAAGATACAACAATATTTAGTGAAAAGTTATCCTCAGTTCCCCTCCCTTGATACAACCTCTTAAAAGTTTCATCTGGATCCTTCTGGAAGTATTCTATGTATTTATATATACATTCTCCTTCTTACAACTAGTAGCCATGAGCCTTGCTACTTTCAATCAGGCAATGAAGACGGCAAACCCAGAGAACTGTGTATGATTGGAAAGGTCTTCTAATCCTCACATTGTAAAAAATAAGATTAATAGTTGGCATTAAACTGATTTACTCAGAGTCGCTTAGATTTAGCAGCAGGTTCAAGGACCAGAAGTCAAGGTTCTTTATATTGCAAGATTACCTGTCCAATAAGAAGTCTGGGATTGGGCAGTCACTAAGTATATGTGGTTCTTGACTTCCCACTGGGTATGGAGGACATTGTGTTTCTATATACTACTCTCCTTCCTCTGAAAGGAAGGTTAGGGTCTGAAATAGATTTGGGGAAGCCAATTTCACAGTTATCTGCAAAGCTACTATGGACATTGATTCTTACCATATTAATAGCTAACCTACAGTGAATACTTGTGTGCTTCACAACCAGCCTTTTAAGGTAAGTACTTGAAAAAGTTTCTGAAATGTGTTAACTATTAATATGTATGTCAAAGAGTGTTGATTATCTTAATTTGACTTAAATAAGCACTTCAACTTATAAAGAGTCTGACTTCTCTAGGGCAGCTCTTTTTATAAAGACCTGTCCTCTTTCTTCCAAAGGAGAATTACCCTTCCATGTATACAAACTACTATTCACTAAGCTCACCAAACTGAAATGATTATTTTTAATATATCCATCACCTTTCCTCCTAGACTGTGAGTTTTTACGAACTTTGTGTCCCCAAGGTCTGGCACATAGTGGATATTCAATAAATGCTTATTGAATTAGCAGACCAAAAATGAGAGTGAAAACTAAAATGGGAAGATGGATGAAAAAAATAATGCCAATTTGATCAGTTGACAATGTACGAAGGCCTCTGACAGAAGTTCTTATCCAGTCAGGGCACTTCATTACTGGCAATTTTCTCAGGCAGTATTAATGACAAAGATTACCAAAAGATTGTTGACAGAGAAAAATAAATCTGACATTAAATCTGACATTAAGAAAGGAATTCAGGGATTCCAGTCCCTAAGACCATTTTTGTTGATAAAATGATGGAGAAGACTGCTATTCTTAGTTCCCATGGGCCAGGAATGTCAAATTCTGTAATGCAGGGTACAGTCTCACATAATAGGACCCCTTTTGAAACACAGTGGAGATGTTCCATCAATCTCATTTTCAACAGAAAAATATACTCATCCATTTCATTTACTAAACAAATTCAGATATAGAAGCAAAACCAAAGTAAATACATGAAGAAAGAAGGAAAAGACTAAAAGAGAGAAATAATGAGTAGTATAATATACTTGAGTATATGCCCCACAGAATGAAAAGATATGAATTAAGGGATTTCCCTAAGCCTTTCCTGGTGGGAACACATCTAAGAGCCAACAGGATTACTAGTGTTTAAGAAGAGGTACATGGTTTTTCAAGTTTTTATCTAACAGAATTTCTAAATGCCAGTCAACTGGTGTTTAGCAGAGGAAAGTGATCTCTTCTAACCAATGGAGGAAAAACTTGCTATGGCACTGAGAAATGAAACGTTGGCCTTAAACATGGTGCTTTTCCAGGCCAACTATATCTGAAACACAGGCTTTTTGATGATTACCTAATAAATCTCCCAACTTTCCCATAAAACCTAACTGCTCTGTCTCCTGCACACTGTGGTGCTCTATTTGTTAATTTTTGCCTAGCATGTTGCACACCCATTAAGTTATCAATCCCTTTGTAACAGTAATTATTTACTATTTTAAGCCAGGTTATTCCTTGGAAAAATCAAGTTGTTATTATTTTACTTATAATTCCATTGAAAATAGTATGCTAAGAATATTAAGTATTTTTCTTTTGTTTCAGCTGGGAAGACAACTTGTCTATCGCTCAAAACCTCCATCTGGTAACAAACATGAACTACTTTTAGTCAAGGATACAAGAACAAAATCACTAGAGGAAGAATATTTTTTCACTTGAATAGGAGCAGTAAGACATTCATTACCAGAACGTTCTAGGCACATTCTGTAGATTCTGGTTTTCAATACTGGCAATATTCTGCCCCGTATGCTGGCCTAACCAATTTGAGGAAGACAGGCACTTATTCTAGTGGTTATAGGATTGGGAATGAGTTTTCTTTTGTTGAAGCTTTTTAGTATCATATACTAAGTACAATTCCATATAGCTAAACATTTATATCTTTGAGTTGCCCCAGTTGGGGATACACATCCAAAGTTTACTTTATTGGTGTAACTATGTGGTGAATGGCCATTGAGTTGCAATAATGGCATTCTCTGACAACATGGGACTTTAAATGATCTAATTTGTTTTTAATCAGTCCACAGTTCATAGTATACTTTTATCACTGTGGAGTATACATTTTAACGATGTATAACTCTAAAACATCTAAATGGTTTTGAGTAGCTTAAAACTTAAGTGAAACCACTAGTATATTTTCAGAATATAACTGTGAGACTGTTTTTTTTTTTTTTTGTGAGACTGGTTTTTAATTAACATTAAGGAGTTCTGTTCAGAACACTTAATTCTCTTAAGTGAACAAACCATATGCCTTCAGCCTAAACATCAGTTCACAATTTCTGTTGTGCTCTATATCCACAATCATTTTAATTTTCAGGTGATATTTCAATTTTCGATATAACACGTACATTATTAGCTTACATTGACATAGAATTAACATGTAATTTGTTGACTACTGAGTAAAACAGTATATAATTAGTTCTAAGAATATATTTAACTTTATAGGTATAAAGTTCAAAAGTTATTCAAAAATAACTTTAAAAGAAACAGCTGTTCTTAAAAGGTCTCAGTTAATATATAATCACAAAAAAGGGCTGAAATTCACCTTCATAAATGTTTATGAAGCATATAATTTTCCCCTATAGAAAAAGAATACTGAGCTTACAAAAGAAAACCAACTTGAATGAAGTTGAGTGGCTCTTAAAGTATTACTCCTTTGAATAATCTTTCTGCTGTTTCAACATTTGAACTCTGCATTTAAAATATCTGAATATGAATAGTTCATGAGTCAAGTTGAAAAAAAAAAGTTTATTGTCTAGAAATATATATAAAAAACATTCCCCACAAAAGATGCTATTCTCTCATTTCTCCATCTTCTTCCTCTTCTTCAACACCCCTGATATAAAGGACATTATTACACCTGTAAATAAAAAAACAATCCATTTTGTTGTTCCATCCAGAAACCACATTAAAATCTAAATTACTATTGCTAGATATTTTTGATGACAAAAATACTGAATGCTAAATTTAAAATATATCACTTCTTTTTTAAAAAATGTTTTACTATTGATTTGTTAAAAAGCAAATGTCACTTATTTACTACCTGAATGTTTCATAAAATAGTATCTTTATGATCTTCCATAAGGCATGAGTCAAATTTGAAGGTGTGATGCTAGTTCAAGAAAATGAATGTAGAAAAAAATCCCTAACAGCAGTCAGATCCAACTAAAATTCAAAACCAGGCTCTTGCAACTAAAACAACTGAAAAAGGTTAGAGCTAAGAGCTAGAATTTAGTATTAACACTAGAAAAATCTTAAAAGATGAGTAACTCCAAAAAAATTCCATCTTCTTTGACAAGTTTAAGGATTTCAAAACTCTTTAAGTCTAATTGTAGAATATTATGTTAAATTAACAGTAATTTTTAAATTCTGAAATTGAGGCACTAGTCGATTTAAACAGGTTATTTCCAGTGCTCTCTTTACATATACTGCTGTTTTGTTACCTTATTAAAACTTCACCCAAATGTCCAGACAACGCTCCATCTATGTATTCTTCTGTGTTTGCAAGCTTTAAAAAAAAAAAAAGAAAATATATTAGCATATTAACACAGGGAGAAAATAATGTAACACTATCTAAAATATTAGGTAATATTGGTGAGAGAACTTATTAACTGAGACCTTTCTATACCAACAACTCACATTTATCTATAATTAATAGATTAGCCGCCTTCTACTACTGTAGTACTTTTTGGGTTTCACATAAACATTCCGTAAAGTTAACATTGGTGGATGTAGAATTATAATAAAGCTTGTTTCAACAATTTTTTTTTGTTTCAACAATTTTTAAAAATTTCTCAGTTATGTAACACTTCTTTCTATTAGACATTAAAACGATATGTAGAGGAAGACAATTTCCAATTTATGAATAAGTTGTGATTTTAAAAGTTTTCCAAAAATCCAGTTACATAAAGTTACAAAATTCAGGGTACAAAATCTATGGCTGGGCAGCCCCGGTGGCGCAGCAGTTTAGCACCGTCTGCAGCCCTTGGGGTGATCTTGGAGACCCTGGATCGAGTCCCACGTCAGGCTCTCTGCATGGAGCCTGCTTCTCCCTCTGCCTGTGTCTCTGCCTCTCTCTCTCTCTCTGCATCTCTATGAATAAATAAAATCTTTAAAAAAAAATACTCTTTAAAAAAAATCTATGGCTAAAATATCAAATACTTTTATATTAGTCAACACCCAAACCAAAGGATGGAATAAGAATTTTTTAAAATTATGTGCAAATAAACAGCAAAATAAGTTCCTAAGAGAAAGTTAAACAATTCAGAGTGACCTTTATAGTTACTTCAGGAAACTCTAATTTTTACATTAAAATGTTTAGATTTCCTTCTGCATACAAGTAATAAACTTTGTTATTTTAAAAAACACAATCATGGGCAGCCCGGGTGGCTCAGCGGTTTAGCGCCGCCTTCATCCCAGGGCATGATCCTGGAGACCCAGGATGGAGTCCCATATCAGGCTCCCTGCATGGAGCCTGCTTCTCCCTCTGCCTGTGTCTCTGCCTCTCTCTCCCTCTCCGGTGTCACTCATGAATAAATAAATAAAATCTTAAAAAACAAAACAATCATTTAAAAGGGCCTCTAGGACTACCATTCCAACCTTATTATTCTTCTTCCAAGTCATTCTGCTTTTGCCTTCTTGCCATGCCTTGAACACACCAAGCAAGTTCCTGCCACAAGGCTTGTGTACTTGCTGCTCCCTCAAACTGAGATATGCTCTTTCCAGATACTCTCTTCAGTTGCTCACTCAATCCTGTTCTTTGCTTAAATTTACTTCCTCAGAGAACCTTTCCCTAGCTAAACACTGCACATTCTTGTCAATACCCCGTTTCTGCTTTTTTTCTCCATAGTATCTACCATTACCAGGTATCACATTATATTACCATCTCCCACTACCACAACACAAACTCCTTGGAAGTTGGGACTTAGTTTTGCTCATTGGTTTATTCACAGAGCCATGGACACAATGGGCTTTTAAAAAATATTCACTCAATAAACTCAAGAACATCATTAATGTGGTTATTCAGAGACACTTCACAACTCCAGCAGGCTCACCATGAACTATGATACTTCTAAAACCAAATATGTGGTGGATATTCTTTATTTCTTTCTTTTATTGAAATGTAATTCCCATAGCATAAAATTCACTTTTATAGACTTATATGTCAGTTTTTATTTTAAAGACTTTATTTGGGATCCCTGGGTGGCGCAGCGGTTTGGTGCCTGCCTTTGGCCCAGGGCGTGATCCTGGGGACCCGGGATCGAATCCCATGTCGGCTCCCGGTGCATGGAGCCTGATTCTCCCTCTGCCTGTGTCTCTGCCTCTCTCTCTGTGACTATCATAAATAAATAAAAAATTAAAAAATAAATAAATAAAATAAAGACTTTATTTATTTATTTGAGAGAGAGAGAGAAGCAGAGGCAGAGACACAGGCAGAGGGAGAAGCAGGCTCCAAGCAGGGAGCTTGATGTGGGACTCGATCCCGGTTCTCCAGGATCACACCCTGGGCTGAAGGCAGGCGCCAAACCACTGAGCCACCCAGGCTGCCCTAAGCCAGTGGTTTTTAATGTATTCATAAAGTTGTGTAATCACCACCACTATCTTAAGTCTGAAACATTTTCAGCAGAATGATATACTCTTCTGATTTTTCTATGGCCTTGGTAAATGATTCCTGCTTGAGGAATTTTCCAGGCCAAAACCATGCTCTATAAGAACTTTGGGGATCTAAGCATCATTTGTTCAAGTGGTAACCTCTTAAGGAAAATCTCAGCTTTTTGCCTACACGTACCCCTGTGAGCATTCTTCCTAGTACTACCAGTATACTTGGGAGTGATAGTTGGAATGACCACCCATCTAAGTAACTTTTAAAAATCCATCTGCCATTAGTCACATAAATACCTATGCTTCAGGAATATGTAACTTCAAACTCTTTTGTCAAAAACCTGGCAGGAAACTACTACAATTAAGCAACGAAGAAAACATCCCAGTCTTTGGGCAAAGGACATGAACAGGCATTTCTCCAAAAAAAGATATATAGCCAATAAGCACATAAAAATTGCAGATATCACTAATTGCAGATATCACTAATTGCAGATATCACTGGGGAAATGCAAATCAAAATAAGGAGATATTTTATACTTATTAGGATGGCTATTATCAAAGAAACAGAAAAAAACAAGTGTTGGTGGGGAGACGTGAAGAAAGTGGAACCTTTATGCTTTGCTGATGGAATGTAAAATGGTACATCTGCTCTAGATAACAGTATAACAGTTCCTTAAAAAAATGAAAGAAAACAATTCCTGTATGATCCAGCAATTCTACTTCCGGATATATATCAAAAGAAGCAAAAGCAGAACCTCTAGCATATATTTGTACATCCATGTTCATTGCATTATTCACAACAGCTGGAAGGTGGAAAACAATTCAGATGTCCACCAACAGAACAATGGATTAAAATGTGGTATACATATACAGTGGAATATTATTTCAGTCATTAAAAGGAATGAAATTCTGGTACATGCTACAATATGGATGAACCTTGAAAACATTATGCTAAATGAAAGGAGCCAGACGCAAAAGGACAAATACTGTAGGATTCCATGTAAACTAGAACAGAGAAAGAATAATGTTTACCAGAAGACAGGGGAAATGAGTATTTTTTTAATGAGTATAGTTTCAGCTGGGGATGATATAAGAATTCTGGAAATGGGATAATGGTGATGGATGCATAATAATAATAATATGAATGTACTTAATGCTACTGAGTTCTACACTTGAAAATGGTTAAAGTGGTAAATTTTATGTTAGATTTTACCACAATTACAAAAATAAAACAAGGGGTGCCTGGGTGGCTCACTTGGTTAAGCCACCATTAAGCATCTGACTCCTGATTTCAGCTCAGGTCATTATCTCAGGGTCATGAGATCCTGGAGCCCTGTATTGGGCTCCAAGTTCAGTGAGGAGTCCGCTAGAGATTCTCTCTCTCCCTCTTCCTCTATCCACCCCTACTCCTACACTCTTGCTCTTTAAAAAAATAAATCTTTAAAAACCAAAACATCCTGTTCTAAACATTTACAGAAGCCAGCTTAACAGGCATTCAATCAGTTCAAGAAATGCTCAAGAAATGCTTTTATTGAATTACTTTTTGTGTCTTTTGCATTCAAAGATTTAAGAAATTTGCTTTAAAAATTTCAGAGCTAAATGTTGGAAGAGTTTTGCTTTTTCTGCAAAAAAAAAAAAAAAAAAAGAAAACAAGAAACTCATTTGTGTTTCCCTTATGCCACTGTGACTCAAATATTGACGTTCTTTTTATTTTAAGCACTAGAAGTCAATTGTATGGCTGGATTTCGGTTTTATAAGTCTCGTACACAGTTTATCACTCTCCCTGACCTTGACTTTATTTCCGAATTTTGTTTTGTTTGTCAATTTAACTACATCTTATAAATCACAGTCAACCTTTGAGGAGTTAAAGTAAAATAAATACAATTTAATGATCCTTCTCTTTGTAACTTACCTGCATGTTCATATAGCCATCTACAGATACGAGGTAGCCTTTGTACTCCATTCCCCACTTCAGTTTCACCATTACTGGCTTTCCTGTTAATCCATTCAGAAAAGGTTTCGGATTGAGAGGCAAACTCTGTGCAAAGAACAAAAACAGGACTCAATTATTTTGCATTAGCTCAGTTTCCATTACCTACTCTCCTCTACCAAATCACCAATATTTTATGGTATCCCAATAAAGCAAACTTTTGACTCGCTCACTTTACTACTTTTATTTGTTGAAAAGCATAGGAGAAAATAAATACCCAGTCAGTCAATTTCATTAAGTATTCACTTAAACAAGGAACACCTACTATACATAACTCATTGTTCCAGGCTACAAAGAAACACAGGTAATAAAAGTGGGGGGTGGGGGGGTGAGCAGACTGTAGTCCTTGTCCTCAAGAAGCTCACAGTGGGAAGGAGGCAAAACAAGATTTACACTGGGATGTGTGAAGAGGAGATATGCTATGTATATGGGTATCAAATCAATCCAGAGTCCAAAGGAAAGTTTGCCTGAAGTAAGTAATGGCTCCATTTTAAAGGGTGAGAGAGATCTCTAGAGAGAAAAGGAGGCTGTTCCAGGTAGAAGAGGAGGTTACCTACGTAAAAAGAGGGAACAGTGAAGCAACAAGGCCATCTCAGGGACACACAATTCGGTGATGTCAGAGCCCTGAACATGAGGCTACAAAGGGAAGGAGGGAGCAGATGGCATTTGACAATCTTTCACTGGAATTCCAGGAGTTAGATCTGGTGGGTCTTATTTGACTTAGCAAAGCCGCCTAAACTCATGGGCAATTACTCAGTGTTGGTTTATTCAGCAAACCAGTAGTATTCCCCCGGTGAATTCAGACTTTTCCTTCCCTCAACTGCTCTCCCATTCTCCTATTGGCTCAAAGAAAGAAAAAAGCCAAGAAACTTGATTACTAAACCTCTCTCAGATAACCATATTCAGGGTGATCTCCAAGAACGTGGGGGCGACTGCAATAACCTAATGGGTCTTCAGTTTTCACTCTTCTTTCTCCAACTCCTGCACATGGCAAGTATTTTTAGCTTAAAATGCTTCGATGGCTTTCACCTGCACTTGAAGTAAAATCCAGACCTCCTAACACGACCTAAGAGGTCTTCCCGACCCTATCTCATAACCAGTTCCTGCAAGCCCCCGCGGCTTTGTGTCAATTCCTCCCAAGGTTTCTTTCCAGCTTTGGGGCCTATGTTCCTGTCCCCCGTTTCGTACACTCTTCCTCTTGCTCTCTGAGGGGCTGGCTTTCATATTCCGCATCATTTAGGTTTCTGCTTAAACCCTCCGACCAGGGACGCCACCCTGACTGATGGTACTCTTCTCGTGAACCATCGCGCATCCTCGCAGCATCCGGTTTGCCCTCTTCTTAGCGCTTCACGTTATTTGCGAATACGTGTTTATGTTATATCATCCGATAAAGTCTGTCTCTCCTACCCAACTGAGTAAATCTAGAGCAGGGTCCGCGTCAGTACTTTTCACCTTATGTTCTGACGCCCACAACAGTTCTCCGGTAGGTAGCGTGAGCGAAAAAATAAAAATAATAATAATAATTTGCTCAACGAACAAACGAATGCTCCAAAGCTCGGGCTCTGTATTCCGGAGGGCTGCGGGGCTGGGAATCCCAACACGATGGAATGAGAGAAAGCCGATTCTCGGAGGAGGATGAGACTTAAAACCGCTTCACCTTTACCCCGACCCTGTGGTCCCAGGCAGCAAGGATACCTCAGGCTCACATTCGAACGAAGAGGGGGAAGGAAGCGCATCGGCGCAAGAGCGCGCGACTCGGGTCCCCAGGGCAGCGAGAAAAGGGAGCAGGCAACCCGGTGCGCGGCTCCTCACGCGGATGAATGGGGAACGCGCGAACCAACTAGCAGGCCGGGCGAGTCGCGTCCCCCGCTCTCCCTTGCTCTCTAGCGGCTCCGGTCCTACTCCGCCTCCTTACCATTGCGACCACAAGCCAACGCTGCAGGCCGCTCGCCGCCGACCCAGCTGTAGTCCGTCCCTCGTGACGGGAGTAACTCCGGCCCCGCGCGAACCGCGAAGCTTCCAGAGAAATGGCCGCCAAACAGCAGCGTGACCTTTCACCTCTAACTACAGGCCTCTCGGCTTCTGTGATTGGGTGCAGAGAGACGCGTCCTGATTGGAGGAGCTGGCTGGGCAGGGTCTCCTGGCAACCAGCGGAAGCGCGCGCGGGCGAGCGTTCCGCGCGGCGCACAGCCCTGTGGGAAAAGTCAGGAGCCCCACCCGCGGCAGAGAGGGTCCCGGGAGGCTGCGGGGGCGGCTCCGGTTTTCCGCCTGTTCGGCTGCCTCGCGGGTCGGCTGAGGGATGCTGCGTACCCTGTAGAGCGGACTTGGGGTCTCGCTAGCTTGGCTGATGGGGGTTCCTTGTCCCTTTACACCTGGGAGGACGGATCCTTGGATCTTGAGTTTCTTGCTCACGTTCCCACAGATGCTGTGATGTGGGGGCTCCTATACCCCAGGCCCCTTCTCTACTCTGTAGTGCTTATTTCAGGCCACTTCTAAGGAAGTGGGAGAAGCAAGACTAGACTAAGAGAGGCGAAACTCACCAAAGAAAGTCCAGCACAGAAAATAGTTGCGATGAGGTCTCGCCGAGTCTAGAACGTGCTGTGGTTGCCTCCCCGGGGGTGTTTCCTTTGCCTCCACCAGGGTTGGCGCAGTCTCCGATCGCTCCGAAGTAACGGGGTTGCTGGAATCTCCCTTGTTTCCGCGCCCCCCACTCCCCGCCCCCCATTCCCCCCCCCTCCCCGCTCCTGCCCCCGCCGCCCCCTGGGGGCGCAGACTGTTAGCTCCCAGATCTGAAATGCTAAATGCAGGTTTTGGAGAATAAGCACTTTGAGAGGTGCTGTGTTTTGTTTTTGTTTCCGTTTAGTTTTTGCGGCCCTAAGAGAATAGATTTGGAATTGAGGTTTGAATGCTGCATATGGAGGCCTTAGGAAGTAGTGGGCAAGACTTTGGAGGCAGCCCGAGTTCAGAAACTGAATCCCTTGGGGAAGGTGCTGGGTAGTTTCTTAACCCCCTGAGGCCTTTGTCTCCTCCCTAAGGCCTTTGTTTCCTCAGACAGTACTGTCTTTAAGGTTTGCAAGGATTCATGTGAAAGAGGTTGGGACTTAAGGGCTCAGTGGATGTTTATTTATTGTTATTTTAATGTCCATGAAAATGCTGGAGAATACTGACAAAATAGAGTAATTTTAAATGTCATTTATGCCGAACAGTCGGAATTTACCCCAAAGTTCAGTGGGTTTTCCCTTAGTTTGGCCATCATTTAATGACTATTTTAGCCTCTGTACAGACTTTGAGTTCCTACTACGTGCCAGGCTTCTTCACAATGGCTATAATGGAAATCTTACCATACAGCCCGTGATTTGGTTGTTATGCTCCCATTTTAGAGATGAGGAAAATGGCTCAGCAGGTAACTTAACCAGACTACACAGCTGGCTTTCATCCCTGAAAACTCTGTTTTTTCTACTTCATAAAGCTACCTTTCAGAAGCCCAATATGTGCTTTACAAGTCTGATTAAAACAACAAAAACTTTTCTCTGTGAAGTGAAAAAAATTATTACTATAATATTTGTAAAGATAGCTGTTTAAAGTTGTTTTTTTTTTTTTTTTGAGCAGGCTTCACACCCAATGCAGTACTTGAATTCACAACCCTGAGATCATGACCTGTGCAAAGATCAAGAGTTGGATGCTTAACTGCCTGAGCCACCCAGCTGCAACCTAATGTTGGTTTTTATCCTTACATTAAACATTAATCTTTCCTTTTTGAAAATAAAATGGGTATGAGGTCATTGGTATTTTTTGAATTTTAAAAACCATATGTACATTTTGTGAGAATTTGGAAATACAGGAAGTTCTGAAACAAAAATTACTGTATCACCAAAGAAAACTACTTTCTTGGTGTACAATTTATTGTAACACATGCACTTTTTTTTTACACAAGATATCTACATATAGTTCTTAACTTTTCTTCACTTTGTATTGAGCAAATGCTGGTATAATTAAAGCTTCTTCTAAAATATAGTGTAACATCTATTATGCATAATTGGTATTGTATGTATGTGCTAATTTATAAATCTATTGTTCCTATTTCCTCTATTATAAACAATTTGTTTTGAACATACTTTTGAACATGAATCTTTGAGTATATCTCTGATTCTTTACAGTAAATCCTTAGAAGTAAAATTTCTGGGCTAAAAGGCATAATATTTTTAAAAGCATGTATTACATATGGCTCAACAGAATATCCATCAGAATAATTGGCTCTAATGTGGGGGAAACAGAGGGTTTATATTTTTTGAAGATGAGATAGAATACATTTGGAGTACATTCTGAGCAAATAGTCCCTAGTTATTAATTAGGGTGAACAGTTTGGTAAGGCCTGGGTTCTACTGCTCAGCATATAACCCAGAAATGCCAGTGGTAAACAAACATCTAAAAGGTAATTTGTTGGGCATCTGCTTGGCTCAGGTGCTGTCTCTGCCTCTCTCTGTGTGTCTCTCATGAATAAATAAGTAAAATCTTCAAAAAAAAAAAAAAAACAAAACCACAATATACTGGAGGATTCCTCAGTACTAAGAACACTGGTTACCTATAGGTGTGGTCGGAACTGAGCCGAAAGCAGACCAAAGATAAGCTTTTCACCATATGCATTTTTTAAACTTCCTTTTATGATGAAATTCACAGAACATGAAATTAACTATTAAAATATACAGTTCAGTGGAATTCAGTATATTCATAATGTTGTTGCAACCACCGTTTCTATCTAGTTCCAAAGCAATTTTCATGATCTCAAAAGAAAACCCTGTATCCATTAAGCAGTCAGCTCCTATTTTCCTCTCCCCCCAGCTTCTGGCAACCGCCAATCTGCTTTTCTGTCTCTACACATTTCCCTAGTTTGGATGTTTCATAAAAATGGAATAATGCGGTATGCGACCTTTTTTCTCTGGCTTCTTTCACTTCACATAATATTATCAAGGTTCATGCATATTGCAGCATGTAGCAGTACTTGATTTCCTTTTCATAGCTGAGAAATGTGTGTGTATATGTGTGCATGTGTGTGTATTCGTGTATGCGTGTGTACATACCTCATTTTATTTATCCATGCATCTGCTGATGGACATTTGAGTTATTTCCACTTTTTGGCTATTGTGGATAATGCTCCTATGAACATCCATGTACAAGTATTTATTTGAGTACCTCTTTTCAAGTTCTTTTGGATATATGCCTACAAGTAGAATTATTGGGTCATATGGTAATTCTATGCTTAACTTTTTGAAGAATTACTCAGCTGTTTTCCATTGCCTGCACCATTTCACATTCTCACCAGCAATGTACATACAAAAGTCCATATTCGTCCACATTCTCACCAACACTTGTTATTTTCCATTTAAAAACATTACTACATTCTGGTAAACCTAATAATAATTTTTAAAAACCTTCCCGTTGTAACTTTTTTTTTAAGATTTTTATTTCTTTAGTCATGAGACACAGACAGAGAGAGGCAGAGACACAGGCAGAGGGAGAAGCGGCTCCACAGAGAGAGAGGCAGAGACACAGGCAGAGGGAGAAGCAGGCTCCATGCAGGGAGCCCGATGCAGGACTGGACCCCGGGGTCTCCAGGATCAGGCCCTGGGCTGAAGGCGGCGCTAAACCGCTGAGCCACCTGGGCTGTCCTCCCATTGTAACTTTGATTTGCATTTCCCTAATGACTAATAATGTCAGTCATTTTCATGTCATTACTGGCCACTTGTATATCTTTGGAGAAATGTCTGTTCCAGTCCTGGATACTTTTATAGATGTTCTGTTTTTTTTCTTTTTTTTTAATTTTTTATTTATTTATGATAGTCACACGCACACACAGAGAGAGAGAGAGAGAGAGAGGCAGAGACACAGGCAGAGGGAGAAGCAGGCTCCATGCACCGGGAGCCCGACGTGGGACTCGATTCCGGGTCTCCAGGATCGCGCCCTGGGCCAAAGGCAGGCGCCAAACCAATGCGCCACCCAGGGATCCTAGATGTTCTGTTTTTGGAATCCTTGAATGTATTGCCTAATCAAAAATTAAACTAAAATTTCTGAAATAATAGGAAGAGTCATTTAATAATTCTGGGTCTCATTCACTTCATTTATACAATGAAGGGATTAGACTAGATCAGGATTTTCAATCTTTGGTACTATTGACATTTTGGGCCAGACAATTCTTGTTGTGAGGCCTGTCCCTGTATTGTAGGATATATGTGTTGTAGCAGCATCTCTGGCCTCTACCAACTCCGTTGCCAGTTGCAACTCCGTCCCCCCCAAAGCTGTGACAACCAAAAATGTCTCCAGGCATTGCCCAATTTTCTCCAGCGAGGCCTAGTTGAAATTGAAGATCAGTGGATTAGATCAATAGTTTATAAACACCTGCCCCCAGACTTGGATCACTTTGGTTTTGTTTTTACTTTTTTTATATATATATAAGACTTGGATCACTTTGTAGGTAGCATTGAGGCTTGGCAAACTATTTTCATTATTAAAAAATAAAACAGCTAATAAATCAAAGTACAGTTGAACAATTGTATATTTATCTAATGTAAACTGCATAAAACAAATCTTCTTTGCTTTTATTAGAATGAAATTAACTCAAAATATAAATACTGGTTGATTATAATGGATTAGGAGCTCTGATTGGCATTTATATATGTATCTCATTTATAAAAATAGGAAAGCAAATTGTCAATAAATGATATTTTTTAGTTTTGTAAATCATCATTTCAACATTGGGTGGGGGGTAGATAATAAAAGAAGCCTTTGGGAGGTTAAAAAAAAAGCTGGGAATCCCTCAAATAGATGACCACCATTAAATATTGACCTTAAACATACTGCAGTTCCGTGCCACACTTCCATGGGGTTGCATTGGTGAGTTTTGAGTAAACTTTCTAATTGTCATAGAGGCATTTGCAAGTTAATCTGTACATGGGAACTTCACTGTTTGCACAACACAGATAAAACAAACAAAAGCTCATGGAATTTCTCCCACAGTCGCCTGTTCCATACAATCTTCTCCCCCCCCCACA